CATATGATATGTCCCAACGGGGTGAAGAAGCTGCACCATTTGAGACTGAATGTGAGAAGGGCCTAGGTGTGTACGTTGATAATGAGCTGAAGTTCTCGGGCCATTGCGAGAAGAAGGTAAATCAGGCAAATAAATTATTGGGTCTTATATGAAGGTTGTTCAGATATCCAGACGGTTGGTCCCTCGTAACGATCTTCAAGAGTGAAGTGTTTCCCCATCTGGAGTGCTGTCACCCCGTCTGGTCCCCGAGATATACTAGGGACTGTCAGTTGGTCGAAAATGTTCAAAGGAAGGCCACCAGACTGGTGCCTGTGCTTCGGCACCTCAACTACCCTGAGAGATTGGAGCGCCTGAACTTGCCTAGCTCATACTACAGACGGGCAAGGGACGATCTAACTGAGATGTATAAGCACCTCAAGGGGCACTGCTCAGTTGAGTGTCCTAGCTTGGAGCTGGCGGAATATCGCCCCACAAGGGGTCACAGCTCAAGATTGAAGAAGCCGCAAGTCCAGAAAACTGTTAGGGGAAACTTTTACGGAGTGAGAGTTGTGAACTCTTGGAACAATCTGCAGAAAATTTTGTGACGGCACCGAGTGTAAATTCTTTCAAGACCAGACTTGACCAACACTGGAGTAGGCTCAGGTGCATTCAGGAGCCGGTGCATGCCCAGTACTTGCGAACAGTGCGTAACAGAGAGCCAGTACATGTCTAGCACTTGCCAACAGTGCGTAACAGAGACCTGTCCGGATCGCCCAAGCAGCTAACGAGCCGATCAGTGGTGAAGAGGATAAAAGTAAAAGTAGAAAAGCTGGCTACTAAGCTGACAAGTGGTGAAAATTATTAATATAAAAACAAATTGTCTTACAAAGTGAATCCTTAACTTCAACATTGATTCAGAGTGTTTCATATCAATTCAGTGTACAGTACTGTACCATACATACTTTTCATTTCTATGAATAGTGAAAGATGCAAGTTCACTTTCAGACTACAGTACTAGTCTTATTCACTGATGACATTTGATTTGACGTTTAAGTTGTTCATTCTGAATATTTACAATTTGTTTGTATTCATGACATGTAGTGTTCATAAAATGTTCTACTTGTTGTCTTAACCATTTCATATTACTCAATATTTGTAATGCATCACTCTCCCCAATGATTTCCATTTTCTTTTAGTCCTCTGTACCTCATGGTCCATCCCACACAAAATGGGGAAGGTGTAAAGATAGTATACATGGATATCAGTAGTTTTCTACCTATTATGACTTTTTTATAAATGCATTACTGTATACTGTATAGCCATATAGGGAAGTTGCATTAGCTACTTGTTTGATCTTCTTCCAAGAAATTTATATGTATCGCCTTTCTCATCTCTAGGAAGTTAATTAAAGTAGAATCCTCTTTGTTTTCATTATGATCAACTGACCATTAATTACATACTTTACCTCTCATGAAGCTGTACATTAGGGTGTGTCATAGGAGGGAAGATCAGCTAAAACTAATGGCCCATCACTTTTTTGGTAGATTTTAGTGTATATAAATAGAAAATAATTTTAGTTTCAATATTTTGCAACCTTTTGCTAGGTAAATTTTAGCGTGAAATTTATCGAAAATCTAACGTACAGCTGCATTAGTGCATTACAATTAAATAGTGAACATTGCTTTCTGACTTCATTCTTTAACAACCCAACTAACAATATTTTTTTCTGTTTCAGATTCTGATGCATTTATAAGTTGATAATATTTGCGATGGCTTCTTGTGTCAGGACGAGGAACCAAAAATCCAGCCATCTCAGTCACTATCTTGGGTCTGGGAGAGAGCTCCTGAAGTTGGAGTTGCCTACATTGAGAGATGCTTTGAGATACGGTGTTTTAATCAGGCAAATCAGTGAAAAGAACCAAAGAACTTACACAAACAAAGACATTGCCAGTGATATGACCAAAGCTGTCTTGGCACAGTACACTCTGGCTAACGCTCAGTTCAAGCCTCCAGTCATAACAAGTCGGAAGAAGATTAGTGAGAGACTGCTAGCCAGTTGGGAAAAGGCAAGAGATATCTCTCTTGGGAGAGGAAAACTTGCAGTTAAGGACAGCTTTGCCAAGCAACTGGACCAGTTATTTGACATAATTACTTGCAAGTGCCCAATTGTTCTCTGTCCTGAGTTTGGATGCGATCGTGACTGTAAATCCGAGGCCCACATCTCCTGTATTTGCAAGCGTGAGCTGAAGATTCCTGTGATCGAACTGGCATTTGTCAAAGCACAGAGAGAGAAGACTGGCAGTATAGGGGCTCTCATGATTTCTAGCCAAGATATTCCAGAGTCCAAGAGACAGGAGGCTGCCACAGAGAGACAGAAGAGGAGAAGAGTTGCCGAGGAAAAGAGACTTGAGAAGGCCCAGGGTGAGGTAAAAAAGGCCGATGATTGGAGTCAAGCTGATTCAGAGTTTAATGACTTCCCCATGGCTGATCCGAGTGCTGACCAGGAGAATGGGGACTTTGTCCCTAACCCAGAAAATAATGATCCCAAACCTTCCAGGCATAACATTCGAAATAGGAAAGATATCCCGAGCATAGCTCTGGCCAGCGTGCGACACCACACTGGTCTCAGAGAAACTGCAGAGATAGCAACAGCTGCCTGGATTGACGGTGGTTTGATAACACCTGATGATGTTCACCTGGTGATAGATCATAACAAAGTAAGGAGAGCTCAGGAGAAACTTGTCAGTAACCTAGAAGAGGAGTTTGATAAGGGGATAAGAGAAAATGGAATCAATTGTTTGTTCTTTGATGGGAGAAGGGATGACACTAAAGTGTTCATGAAAGTTGGAGATTCTGACTAGTTGTTCCCTGCCATGGTGAAGGAGGAACACTACTCCTGCTGCAGTGAACCAGGAGGGAAGTATTTGTGGCATTTCACTCCAGAGAAAGATGACATCAGGAAACCAGCTGAGATAGTGGCAGATAACATTGTGAACTGGCTCAGAGAGAGGAACGTAGACCAGACCCTGCAGGCCATTGGAGGGGGCAGCACCAACACGAACACAGGGTGGCAAGGTGGGGGTCATACAGTGGATAGAGCGGAAGATTGAGAGGAAGCTGGTCTGTTTTGTTTGTGACCACACCAACGAGTTGCCACTCAGACATCTGATCCAGGAGCTGGATGGCAAGACTCTTTCAAACAACAGATGGTCTGGTCCTCTTGGCAAGATGCTGGACTCTGCCACTGAGTTAGAAATAAATCCGAGCTTTGAAAAAATCACAGTTGGCCCTCCACTCGTTGAGCTTGCACATACTGTCATTGACGACCTGAGTACTGACCAGTACTATGGTTACATGATTTGCAGTGCCATCAAAACTGGGGTCATGCCTGATAGACTTGCTTACCTGCAGATAGGTCCAGTCTCACATTCTAGGTGGCTCACAACGGCTCTCAGGTTCTGCAGAATTTGGGTCACTCATCATAAACTGAAAGGGAACCAGCTTCACAACCTGAGACTTATTGTCCAATTCATCGTGAGTGTCTACTTGCCAAATTGGTTCAACACCAAGGTCAAGTCATCGTTCTCCGAAGGTCCGAGGCATGTTCTCTTCCAGCTTGAGCTCCTGAGGAGTCAGCCAAGGAAGGTTGTTCAGATTGTGGAGCAGACTGTGAGGAGATCTTCCTGGTATGCTCATTCCGAGGCAGTTCTGCAGACAATGCTCTGCAGTAAGGATGAGGAGGAGAGAAGAGTGGCAGTCAAAAAGATCTTGGATATGAGACTTATGAGAGGATCTGGGCATGACGAATCAGTTGGTGACGATTCCTTCAGGGTCAGGAAGACTCCTGAAGTCAATCTAGGTGCCAAGACCCTCACTGATCTCATAGATCTGGATAACATCCAGGCTGGCAGTGAGACCCTCTTACCTGCAGCCTCACCAATGTTCAAGTCAGAGCTTTCCTGGACAACCCCATGCATGTCCCTGCCTGGCCCTCGCACACCCAGAGAATAGAGCGTTGTGTACAGCAAGTGAGCGAGGCCAGCAGTCACGTGTACAGCCAGGAGAGGAGGGAAGGCTACATCCGAGCTCAGGTGGTCAGCAGGGAGGTGATGAGTAGAAACAGAAGCAAGAAAGACATGTTCTCTATGGTGTGCAGCAACACCGGGTCGTAGTAGTAAAACCGGTTTTTGTATTTGATGATTTTGTTTTCTAAAGGAATATTAAATTTAATAAATGTGTCAAGATCATTCGTTGTTTTATTCTGGATCATTTTCATCCTAATAAATTAACCTGATACATTTACTTTACTTTAAATAAGCTATTTAGTGGTGTTGGTAAAAGGGTGGGAATACTGAACTTTCATAAGATTTCAAGTTAAAATTTACCTAGCAAAAAATGAAAACTTTTCAAATCTGAAGATATCACATGATTCTGCACATAGAACTACATCATTAATACCATGGCCGATTTTTCAAACTCAAAAAAAAAAAATTCGCCTCCTTATGACACACCCTACTGTACATTGTCTTGCCTCTCCCATACTGACAACATGTTTATTCTTGTATTATTCCAGCCTCCTCACACGACCTAGATAGATAATGATGAAGATTACTTATTTGCATCATTATTTTAGTACAGGGAATGGAAGGTTAGAAAGATAATTATAGGAAGGATTGAATCAATGTTGACTAACCCAGCTTTAGGAAGCCATGGGACTTAGCACATTGTTTGAAAGTAATAATAGGTTAATATGAATTATAGTATATACTGTGTAACACTTTTTAATCTCTTTTTTTTACCACATGCTTAAATTATTTGGTATCTAACATGTACTGTAGCCATCATACTTGTACATAGCTACTGTATATGTGCTGTCATGGCCACGAGGTAAAGTATGAGACTCATTTTGTTGATATTGTTCTATAGATCCTTTATTTGCTTATTTTTTGTAGCTGTGATAATGTAAGATAACTTTACTTCAAGAAATGTACTGTACTGTATCTTTTTCTATCATATAAAAGGTGGACAGCAACAATACTCAAGATGCAGAGTTGGAAATGGTCCTCAAGTGTTCTTTGGTGCAGCTCACACAACTCTGGGTACATGACTCTTGAAATTATACTTTTTAGTACAGTATTTAATTTTGATGTTTGCAATTTTTTTTTTACTTTTACTCAATCAAGCCTTTTCTTAATTAAAAGGAGGGGGACAGAGCTCTTCTGCTGCCCTCCTCCTCCTCTGGTGGATATATCTTTGCTAGTGTAATCACAGATCTGAAATGTAAAATATAATTATCAACATATATATTTATATATATAGAATATGATCTTCAAACATTAGTATACATATCAACTGATGATTATTTTGTGGGATATAATTCTCTTCAATTACATAGTTTGCTTAAAAAAATTTCATTGCAGGTTGGGCACCAGATAACAACTCTTGATTACCTACTATGCCTTAATTTTTTTGCGGGTCGGAAGTTCAACTCGCCCCGCCATCACCCTACTGTGCCCTGGGTGACAGACTTCTCCAGTAGAAATACTGGATGGAGAGATCTTACCAAAACTAAATTTCGATTGAATAAAGGGGACCAACAGTTAGACCACACCTATCAGATGGCAGCTAGTCATGGCCAAAGCAAACAAGCAGTAAGTGTTTTTCAGATATCTGTTGAGTCAGAGCCTTAGCAGATTTCGTGGTCAACTAAAGTTGATTGTTTGTAGATGTACCGGGGGGTATATGTTATCTACTGTACTGTACAGTATATACTATGCACCAAGGTAGCTTGTCCACCAACTCCACACCATGCCATAATTGTAACCCCTGTAATTGAAGTTTATAGCAAATACACTGGATTATCTTGACAACCCATCTGCCTATGGATGAAATAATTGTATTCATTAATGAGGCCTCACTTCTTGAGGGAGATCCCCTCTGAGAGGACAGCTATGACAGAAGAGGCTTAAGATTCTCCTATCACTACAGATTTGTTTTTCTGTATCTATTCCCTATATCCCTCCCCCCATTTCTTCATTAGTATATTTATCCACCTTTCCTCATGGTTTAGACTCTCTCTACTCTCTCCATATCCAACATTGTTGCTACATTATTTCTATGATACCATTCCATCTTCTGACATCCTTCTCACATGTGGTATGGATTTGTATATCCATACTATCAGTCCCAAATGATAAATTACTTTGCATGCAGAATTTCATATGATCTGGTGACTGTCATAGCAATTCTTGGTGTTTTTGTTACAGTGGGAATATTGAGACATTCTGATTCTCATTTGCTTAGAATCCTTCCAAAAACCTAATTATAAAAAGTCTCAACACCTGACTTATTTAAACTGTAGATACCTGTACAGTGTGATGCATTTTGGTTTTCAGGTTGCACATCATGTAACAGAAGTCTTCAGTGAAATCACTTATTATGTCTACAAGGCCAGGATAACCCCCAAGGAACTGTTAACCAAGTATGTCCGTCAACAGTGGGTGCCAGAACATTATCCAGCAACAATTACTCGCCTCTATCTCTGGACTCCAGATGAATGTATACCTGAATTCTACACAGACTCATCTATTTTCAAGGTTAGTTAAAAGTTGATTGTCTTTGGGGATGGATGTGATTGTAATGAGTGATGCTGGGCTGTGTCAAGTGGTGGGTAATCCAGTTGGATGTCTTGAGGTATTTTTGCATAAAGGAAACACCATAATGAGCATGTTTGTTATAACAGTTAGGGAGAGTGAATGAAGGGGGTATGTTGCTGTTGGTTCCAGCCACCCGAAATCAACAGTAAGAAAGGGCTGACATGAGTGAAAAAGGGAGAGATTAATTGATATTTGATGCACTAGTGTAAGATTTTTCTTTTTTCTTTTCTTTTTTCTCTATAATTTCAGAGTATTCATCCAGACCTGGGTGACTTGGAGGTACCTGAGTGGTGTGCAGATATTGAGGATTTCCTGAACTTCCATCGAACTGCCCTTGAGAGTGAACGTGTATCACAGCGTCTTCATCATTGGATTGATCTCAACTTTGGACACAAGTGAGTGTGGCACAGTATTAGATATTTACTTTTTTTATTAATTTGAACCATTGTGGAATATATTTGTTCCAGCAGTAAGAAGAAATGAATGACAACAAATGTTGATTCTTAATTCAAGTCTCCCTGAATTATAGGCATGAAAGAGTAAAGTTTTTCTTAAATTCTTGGTCTCAGTTATAATATTTTTTTTTTTTAAAGAATGAGTGAGAAAACTGTCTCTGAATGGTGCATGTTCCAGTAAGATTAAAAAACAAAAACAATGAAAAGCTATTATAAGAATTATGATATTATCTGTGATTTGAATTTTTTTATGTTTAGTGAGCATGTGGACAAAAGGGGTGTTGGTGTGGAGGAAAGTAGCAAGTTGTTACTCAATAAGACAACACAAGACACGTCTTGCTGCCTGAGTGTGGGAATTTTTAATTGGAAAGAGATAGAGAGATAGGAAACTGTGTAGTACTGTATATTCATTAACAGATAACTGTTGCTTCAGGTTGTCAGGTGGAGCATCAGTGAAAGCCAAGAATGTGTGTTTACAGCTAGTGGATGCTCACACAACCCTCTCATCGGGAGGAGTGGTTCAATTGTTCACAACTCCCCACCCTCCAAGGCTTACAGCATCTCCATACCTTGGCAGATCTCCTCCCAAGTTGAACATTTCAGCACAGCAAGAAACAAGTAAGAGAGTTAAACCAAGATTTCAACATTACTAAAATCCCAATGTAATTTTTATGTCTTTTGCTTATGTGGAAATACATGTTGCCTTACTTGTGTGTGTCCAGTGTCCATGCTTCTAAATTTATGTAATTGGACATGGCCTGAAGAGATTTATCGTCATTTGGCTGATCATTTTGTTTTATTTTTTATGTGATTCCAGACAACTGGAGGAAGAATGTGATTGTGAATACTTACAAGGGTGAAGATGATATGCTTGAACACAGCAACTACAAGGGCCTGAAGCTGCTAGATCAGGTTATGAAAGTTGTAGAAAGAGTGATTGAGAAAACATTAAAGGGGAGAGTAAATATAAACAAAATGCTGTTTGGGTTTTTGCCAGGTAAGAGGACTACAGAGGCAATATTTATGGCCCGGCATCTACGAGAGAAATATCTAAGGAAGGAGAGAAAATTTTACTTCATATTTGTAGACTTAGAGAAGGCATTTGACAGGGTACCACATTAAGTAGTAAAGTGAGCAATGTGAAAGTTGGGAGCCGAGAAGTACTGTGCAGTAACTTGTTCATGTGGTTATGGTATTATAATGATAAGGGCTTAAAACCTCTGTGGGAGTAAATGGTGAGGAATTTGGGACAAAACTAGGAGTCCTCTTCTATGTATCATGGTGCTGGAGGAACATCATGGGGCTTTAGGACTGACCTGTCATGGAAGTTGTTGCATGCTGATGACTTAGTTCTGAAAGCAGTTAGTTTTGAAGAGGCAATGGAGAAATTGCCTTTCAGTGTCACACTACGCATCCACCTCACCATTCTCATTTTAGCTTACTCAAGTCTATTCATGTCATCCTCTGTTGCTGCTCATGTTTCAATACCATACACACTTCTCACCCCAGCTGCATACATTCTTCCTTTCACTTGGAGTGAAGGTCCTGTAGTACAGTATATGGCTATATGATTTTACATTTGGAGTTGTGAAGGTGGTTGATGTATAGATATGTACATACCAAGATATGTGAACACGCCTGACACCAGGACTCTTGTTACCATTCATTGTACCATTTATTCACATGTCTGTATTACTACATATTATTATAGCATGTCTGATGTCCATGCTTATGTCTAATGCCTATGTTCATTTACTATGTCCCGATGTACTATGTCTGTACCGCGCTAGTCGAGTAATTAGAAGACCTCATTTATTGTCCTAGGAATGTCTAGCAACTCCCCTTGCCTGGCTAGCTAATTTCCCTCAGATCGGCCTCGGCCTACCTACGGTCCGGGGTCCCTAGTAACCGCTCCTGTATCGGTTGGCTGTCACGCCCAGTCTTGTACACTTATTGAATATATCTACTGCTCGTGCCCTGGAGTTTCAAGAACCTTGTCTAGGATTACATCCACCACACCACATGGCGCAGTTTGAGTAGCTCCAACACGACAGTTTACAAGCCTCAAGAGCCGGCCCCGTCTGTTTCCGGCCTCGTCTGTTTCCCGCCCAGAAGATATACTCCACAGTGCCCCTGGATTTAAAGTGCTTTGTGACCTTGTGAAGTGCCCTAAGTGAAGTGCAGTGCCTTTCATGTCTCTTTGCTATGTTTCTGCGGCCCTACAGGTAGCAGACACGCCTCCAGCCCAGTTTCCAAGACAGCACTTCCGGCATACACCCCCCATCCACGGAGGCTCGCAAGCCACTGCCCGCGTCCCCTCCCACTGAGCCAGCATCTCGCCCGGGCGCGCGGAGGAATACACCGCCGCTAGCCGCCTCCTCTCACTTCACAAATATTACAGTCAGTACTCTCTTACTTGCCAGCCAGTTCCTGCACTTAAGCAAATCCATTGGCGAAAATATAGCACTTCACCTTATTCTCCTTGTCTTTCCCATCGCAACAATACCAAGCACGAGATGTCTGACCACGACGATTTGCTGGGAAATTTATATGAGGATTATGAGGAAGACGACGCCTCACAGACCCTCCCACCCCCCCTCACGCCTCACACGCCGGGCGCGCCAAATTCAAAGGATGGGAGCCAGGATATACGTCAGTTAATCCACTTCCTACAAGTTTCTCAAGAGAAGGAAGCCCAAAGACGTCAATTAGAGGAGGAAAAACGACGTCAAGAGGAATTGTCAAGACAGTCAGAGGAATCAGCTTACCGCCTTCAACTTCAACAACAACACCAAGCTGATAACCGCAAATTCCTGGACCTATTGGAATTGCTGGCAACGAGGACGACTTCACCAGCTGCCACAACCAACTCGCCAGCTTCAGCCTCTTCATCTATCCTTCAGACAACGCCTCCTCACACGTCACCTATCTCCCCTAGGTATGCCTCAGTGTCTTCTCAACCACCTGTTCCAGTCTCAACTCTCGTCGACCTCTCCGTGCCTCCTCCACCGCCTGCCGTCTCGAGTACACCCCTGCACAGCAAGTCTTCAGTTCCCAGTCCCCCACCTCTTCAATCTGATGCAACATATCAAGTATACCGTCAATGGCGACGTCGTTTCGAAGACTTTGCTGTTATGTCTGACCTCTACCGAATGCCCCCTCATAAACAACTCATCCAATTAAGATCGTGCATTTCCCTCGATGTTCAACGCCTCCTAGAGCACACGCTAGCCATCCCCCCTGACTCCCCCAGGTCAGTGACAGAGGTTTTAAACGCCTTGCAGAGTCATTTCCGTGGCCTCCGCAATGAAGCTTTGCGTCGTAGGGAACTGCTATCCTGCAAACAAGCTTCTGGGGAATCATTCTCAGACTTCTATGCACGACTTAAGGACCTAGCAACCGAGGTGGACCTATGTACAGGCGATCCTGTAACCTGTGCTGAGATCCAGCTCAAGATGATCTTGCTGATGGGTGTACGTGACGAGGACCTGCTTCAGAAACTCCTCACCCTCGACGCCGCCTCTTCCCTCACCGACTTCGTCACCTGTTGCAGGTCGTATGAGGCCACAAGAGAGGCTGCCTCAGCTATACACTCATCGCCATCTCAAGTCCACGCCGTCTCCACCTACAAGAGGAATCAACGCCAGATGCAGACGGCGTCCTCTCCACAGCCCCCGTCACAGTCACCAGTTTCTTCTCCCGAATCCTGCAGAAACTGTCAGCACCAGCATGGTCCAGGAAAGTGCCCTGCGGCTGATAGTACATGTCGAAACTGTGGGTTTCAAGGCCATTGGCCCCGCACACCTCGATGTCCTGCCAACAAGGCCTCATGCAACGCTTGCAACAAGCAAGGACACTTCGCCAAGTGTTGCAGGTCCACCAAGAAGCCTCCATCTCCAGGTCAAAACGTCTCTTCACAGCCCGACAGAACGTCCACACCACCGTCTCCCAAGAATAACAAAGGATGCCGACGCGTGGATGATACCTCGAGTGACAGGTCCCCCAAGCCCGTCAATGTTCGTCTGTCCTACGGTACCAACTCTTCCAACCTCCTGATGATACCTGACACGGGCGCGGACATCACGGTGATTGGACCAACACACCTGGACGCCCTCAACATCCCCAGGAGTAGCCTGTCACCCACAGCCATGAACGACGTGCTCACAGCGGACGGGTCCCCGATGTCTCCACCTTTGGGTTGCTTCAAGGCAACACTACAGCTCGGTCCCAAGTCTTGCCTTGCCACAGTCCACGTCCATGAGGGCATCCAAACCCCTCTCTTGTCATGTGGCCATTGTCAGGACTTGGCCATCGTCTCATCCGAGTTCCCAAAGCCCATCCTCGCTGTGACACACCTCAACAGGTGTGCAGAGATACCTGTTTCAGCCATGACCACACCTGCTGCCGCCCGGGAGTTCTTTTTTCGTCAGTTCAGCGACGTCCTTGTCTCCAAGCCCGACCTCCAGAAGACGCCGCTCAAGAAGATGACAGGCCCCCCGATGAGAATCCACCTCAAGCCTGGCGCGACGCCTTTCGCCATCCACACACCCAGGCCTATCCCCTTTGCCATACGGGACAAGGTGAAGGCGGAGCTCGATTCTCTGGTGCAGCAGGGGATCATCAGACACGCCGGTGAGGAGCCCTCCGAGTGGTGCCACCCTATGGTCTTGGCACCCAAGCCTGTAGGTGTTCGCATCACAGTGGACCTCACCCATCTCAACTCGCAGGTCTCCCGTCCCGCCCATCCATCGCCTACGCCCATCCAAGCAGTCCGCAGCGTCACCCCGTCTGCAAAGTTCTTTACCACGGCGGATGCACTACATGGGTACTGGCAAGTCGACCTGGCGGAAGAAGATCGCCACCTCACTACATTCATCACGCCCTACGGCCGCTTCCAACACTGCCGCGGACCCATGGGCTTCGCAGCAACGGGGGATGCGTACTGCCTCCGTGGGGATATGGCTCTGCAGGGTGTCACCAACTGCGTGAAGGTCGTAGATGACATCCTGCTCTTCGACGATGATCTCCCGGCCCACTTGAACCGAGTTCATCTGATGCTCACAAGATGTCGTGCCCACGGTATCACCCTGAACAAAGATAAATTTGTGGTCGCCGCCCCCCAAGTTAACTACTGCGGCTACAACATCTCGCCAGAGGGGATCTCAGCTGATGAGGAGAAGGTCAAGGCCATCAGGGACTTCCCTACTCCAGCGAACCTGACCGACCTTCGCTCATTTATGGGCCTGGTAAATCAGCTGGCCGACTTCTCCCCTAAAATCGCCACATCAGCCCAACCTCTACGCCCCCTCATGAGCCCCAAGCGCTCCTTCCTCTGGACTCCTGACCACGACCTAGCGTTCAGGAATGTTAAGAAGGCGTTGCTGTCACCACCAGTCCTGGCACCCTTCGACCCGTCCTTACCAGTGGTCCTCCAGACCGACGCCTCCCGTCTATACGGCCTCGGATATGCCCTCCTTCAAGACCACGGCCAGGGTAGACTGTGCTTAGTTCAGTGTGGCTCCAGGTTTTTGACGGACACGGAGACCAGATACGCCACCATTGAACTAGAGATGCTGGCAGTCGCCTGGGCTATGGCCAAGTGCCGCCTTTACCTGTTCGGCCTTGGGCATTTCACCCTCATGACGGACCATCGCCCGCTCATACCCATTCTTAATCACTACACGTTGGACGCCATCGAAAATCCTCGCCTCCAACGTCTCAAAGAGAAGACCGCCCCTTACGTCTTTACAGCTGTGTGGCGCGCCGGGAAGCTTCTGTGCATACCAGACGCCCTCTCCCGAGCCCCTGTTAGTCGCCCCACACCCGAAGATGAAGTCGACTGTACCATGGCCGCTGCTCACGTTCGGTCTTTAGTGACACACACAGCCACTTCTCTTGCTGACAAGACGACGACGACGCCCTCCATCGAAGACGATAGGACTCTCCAGGAGCTTCGCATCGCCGCCGCTCAAGACCCGGCATACGTCCAACTCCTCGACTACGTCTCCGCTGGATTCCCCACCAACCGCTACGACATTCACGCCTCCGCCCTCCCCTTCTGGAAGCTAAGGGATAGCCTCTATGCGGACGGAGAGCTGGTGTTGTACGGCCCCAGGATCGTCGTTCCCGCTGCCCTCCGCCGGCGCACCTTATCCCGCCTCCATGACAGCCACCGCGGCGTTGAAGCCACCAGGCGCAGAGCCCGTCAGACCGTCTTCTGGCCTGGTATTGACGCCGATATTAAGAGCACGGTTGAGGCCTGTGAGCCTTGCCAGCAACTCCAACCCAGCCAGCAACAAGAGCCGTACCTGTGCAATGACCTCCCAAAGCGGCCCTTTGAGTCCGTGTCCGCCGACTTCTTTAATGTGGCCGGAAAGTCTTTCCTGGTGGTCGCCGACAGGCTCTCTGGATGGCCCGTGGTAGTTCCCTGTGGTCGGGACACCACCTCTTCCAGGGTCATCCGGATGTTTTGTTGCTTCTTCCGGGAAGTCGGAGTGCCTCTCCGCCTCCGAACCGACGGTGGGCCCCCGTTCAATAGCCACGAGTTCAAGAGCTTCGCCGAACGCTGGGGCGTCCACCACATCGTCACCTCCCCTCATTACCCGCAGGCGAATGGCCACGCCGAGGCAGCGGTAAAGTCCGTAAAATACCTCATCCTCAAGACAGCACCGACGGGGAACCTGGACTGCGAGGAGTTCGACAGGGGCCTACTGGAACTCCGTAACACCCCTACCCCTGCCGGACGCTCTCCTGCCCAGGTGTTGTATGGCCGCCCCCTTCGTACTTGTGTGCCTGCCCACCCCCAGTCCTTCTTAGATGAATGGCAGATCAAGGCGGACGAGTGTGACCGCCGTGAGGCTGCCCGGATGGCCCAAGTGACAAGCCACTATGACGCCCAAGCCCGCCCCCTTCCCAGGTTGGCCGTCGGCCAGCAAGTACGAATCCAGGACCCGACGTCACACCGCTGGGACAAGGTCGGGGTCGTCATGGGCCGTGGCGAGCCTCGTTCGTACCAAGTCCGCCTCCCCAGTGGTCGTGTGTGGTGGCGAAACAGACGCCACCTCCGCCCAGTGCCATCCTCTAGTGACGAACCTTCCTCCCCGTCCCCTGTGTCCCCTTGCCCAGACCAGGAACGAAGGTCGTCAGTTGATCCTCCCATTGTCCCTCGCCGCTCCCCCCGACTCATGGAAAAAGAGTCCGTAGCCGCTCGAGATTGCACTACGAGCGTAAAGGGGGAGGGAGGTGTATAGATATGTACATACCAAGATATGTGAACACGCCTGACACCAGGACTCTTGTTACCATTCATTGTACCATTTATTCACATGTCTGTATTACTACATATTATTATAGCATGTCTGATGTCCATGCTTATGTCTAATGCCTATGTTCATTTACTATGTCCCGATGTACTATGTCTGTACCGCGCTAGTCGAGTAATTAGAAGACCTCATTTATTGTCCTAGGAATGTCTAGCAACTCCCCTTGCCTGGCTAGCTAATTTCCCTCAGATCGGCCTCGGCCTACCTACGGTCCGGGGTCCCTAGTAACCGCTCCTGTATCGGTTGGCTGTCACGCCCAGTCTTGTACACTTATTGAATATATCTACTGCTCGTGCCCTGGAGTTTCAAGAACCTTGTCTAGGATTACATCCACCACACCACAGTTGAGAGCAGTAATGATCATGTTACCTCCTTGTGTGCTGATGGCACAATATAAAGCATGCTAATGAGACTCATTTGTAATCAAGGGGGTACAGAAATTTCAAAGAAATGGGGAATAAAAGGGGGAGTGGTGCAAAGCACGTAGAAAGTGGCTGAAAAGGGCAAGAGCAAGTTATACAATATTGTTCATATCTTATTAATACTGTACCATTTTTTGCAGAATTTGAAAAATCTGATGAAACAAGTGAGGCAGACTCGGCACCTGAAAGACAAGATGAAGAAATGGAGAATATTAAGTCACTCGCTCTCTCCAGAAAATTAAGTCGATCGAGAACTTCTCTTTTTGAGGAAAAACAAGCAGATTTACCGAGTATTCAGATATCTCATGATTATAATCCACTCATAGCTCTTAATCAGTTGGAAATGTTATTTAATTTAGTATTAAAGTCATCAAGAATAATTCCAGAGCAACCTACTAAGTGTAGAGACATTCAACAGGCTGTTAAGCAGGCAGCTCACTTAAGACGTGTCCGAGACATGCAAGCTGTCGGGTGTATCATTGTGGAAATGTTCTCACCTTCCAAGTGTCGAATTCTGAGCACTAAAGCTTCACTCAGAGAGAGATACATTCATGCCCATAAACTTCTCACCCATGATCAGACAGACATACCTCGGTGCATTCGCCACACTTTACAAGTAATATTTCAGATAAAAAACTGGAAGGATGTGAAAGACAACACACTGCCTAACAAGTACGAGCCTGTGTCATCTGATGGTTTACCTCCACCAAGTCCACACCAGTTACTTCAACCCCTAATTAATGTCATTGTCTTCCCGTCATATTTCCCGAAACTTTATAGATTTGTTTGCAAGATGAGACAATACTCACAGCTACTGAATGAGGCTCATATGATGCTCCGTGAACCTCACAAGAGGAAGGAGTATATTCTCAAAGTGGCAGAGATCAGAGTCAAGATGGCTGCGAAAGATTTGCCGAATTTGTTACCGATTCTCTCGGCTGAAGGTTTAGACCTCGTTCTGCCATACCTGATTGAGCTGTTTGAGTATCCTGAAAGTGCAGTTAATGCTGCCTGGTACCTGACTAGTGTTATAGCTCAAGCCCTTGGACCAGAGGAGGCAAATAAACACCTCTTGCCCCCAGTAGTCAAACTCTTTGAAGCTGAAGTTGTGACGGACAAACACCTCAAGCTCTTCCATCGCTCTTTTCTCCTGCAGTTGATAGTCTGGTTTGGTCTGCACAAATTTCTCACATTTTTTGTGACACCTCTGATAGAAGGAGTTGGAGGATATAAAGAAGTCCTTGGCAAGTCTCATCAGTCTGCAGAAATTGTGAGGAAGCAGTCAACAACTCTCAAGTAGGTGGACAGTAAAGGTTTAGTTTTAACTTGCCTCAGGAAACACACAATTCTGTTATAGTGTTGAAATGATATTGAGATCACATTGCAACATTGTTTCAGTTAATGTACAGTAATGTTAAATGTCTGGCGAGACATCATATATTAAGGTACAGTACTCTCTCATGGTTTAACCAGAATTAACTGAGCAGTTAGCTTAAATTATATATTTGTAATGTAGTTTATATAGGATAAGTTAAGTCCTTCATAACATACTCTTTTTTACCTTCATATTCCTGACTTAAAATTTTTTACTTAATTTTAGTTTTATTTGCATGTCTTTTTTGCTTTGTTATTGGTGAAAATTGCCTCTATTTTTATAAAGATATTTATGAAGAAAAGGCACTTTTATATTTAGTTATTTTAAATGATTTATCCCCCAAATTTGTCACTGCTGTAGTTTTCATCCTGTAAAGTTTCCTTGTTACTGCAGTACTGTACTGTAGTTTTGTTTATTTGTTTTCCCGTATAACAGCATTGGTTGTCCTCACTGTCCTAAAGAAAAACATCAGTTGGTTACAAAATTCACTTGATATCCTTCATGTCATCACATTAGGAGTGTGGACATCAGCCTTGGCACTGAAGGCATAACTTCACCCTGTGAGGAAGATTCTCATTCGAGCACAACAGAGCTCACCCTTAGGATGGAGTCCGAGTCAACCGGGAATGCTCGTGTAGAGGCCGACCTCACCGACGCTGAGGCCGAGGCCGAGCCAGGTCAGACTGTTATTTAGAGCAGAAAAACTTGAGCCATGTCAAGTTTTGTAAACAAATTTGACTAAATGTTGAGATGGGTTGATTTGAAGCAATTGTGAGCTGTAGTTAGAATATTGTTATGGGGAGACAGTATTTGCTGAAGTTTTAGTGATGAGGTGGGCAGATGATAATTGTCTTGCTTGCACAAAATGGTTTTTGGTCCAGTCATTGGATCATTAAGGATTTTGGAATCAACTTGTGTGTGACCTTTTTGATAACTGAGAATTCAGAGTTGAGATTGAATGGGATGTTTGAGTAATTTTCAATCAAATCTTTCATGGGAATTGAATATCAGATACTATACCTGTATATTCTCCTACACCCTAAGGAGGTCATCAAATGTTTCCATTTAATGACCACCTCCTTTATGGTATAAGGTCCTTAGCTAGAATGAACTACAGTAGCTCAGTATAGGGCTGTCACAGCGAACAATTAATAGCTTTAGATAAACCATAGGGATTAAACTGTCAGCCCTACTTGACTACAGAGTAAAGTGATGGTCTTATTAGTTGTAAATGTTAACATGACACTCTACCAGGGTATCCTCTAAATACTGTAATACTGTATAATTAATGCCAATTGGCAACAACCTCAGTCTTAATATTGCTTATTATTATGGTTTCCTTTATAACTTTGCAGAGCTCATTATCAGAATTCAGCAAATTTTTTCTTAATATTTAATCATTACAGTTGAGTTTTTGCAATGAATACTGAAGGGAACCATTGTTTCAGAGGTGTTTGTGTTTGAGGGGGGTGAGGATGAAGTAGATGCTAGTTCCCCAGACACTCCACTTCAAGATGCTAGTGACCAGCTCAGGTGAGACATAACCTCCAGTTTTCTTGTATAACTATCTGTTTGGCATCCTCAATGCTAAAAACCCTAAGTTTACCATTATTCTTGTGCAGTACCCATAGGTCACAGTGTTTAACATTCTAACTGTACTTCCTACTTTTGGTGTTATATACAGTAATAAATGTCTACAAGAAAGTTTGGGTTATTACATTAATTTTATTAAAATATGAAGTTTTGTTAATGGCGGTAGTATCTGCTTATTACTAATTATGGACTGAAAGTTGTTAACATGGTAACTGCTTCAACACATGTTTCTTTTCCAGGTCGCCTTTGGCATCAGAGACTCTAAGTTTAGATGAAGTGTCTCTGCAGGAAGGAATAGGATCAATCCCATCTCTGTGTCCATCTCCACATTCTCCATCCATGAGTGGAGATGAGGAGGAACCAGTGAGTGACCCAGACACTCCCACTCCTCTTGCTGCTGCTTATGGTGCCTCATCTGGCTCTACCACAACCAGCATTAATATTCCAAAGGGTGGACCAGTTAGTGTGTCAGTGTTAAAATCAGATGACGAATATTCCACCTCGCTTCCAGACTTCCGTTTAGATAAAGACAGATACATCACTAATATTGATTTTGGTGAAAATAGCAAAGATTCCTTGAAAACTTCTTATAAGGGTGCAGATAGTCAAGACACTAAACAAAAGATGGATCTTGATCATAACATGTCCGATGTTTGTTGTGAGAGCGTTCTGTGGTTGGCAGGAAGATTAGGTCCCGTCCTCACGTCGCGCTATGTGACACGTAATCTCCTGCGGATGCTGACCCTCTGCTACCTCCCAGACTCTGGTGCTCTTGTCCCGATTCCTGTTGATCCGTCAGATGAACTCTCAGTCACAAGGAAGCGCATTTTTGGTGATCATTATGCTAAGAAAGTGCTGCACTGTCTCTCAGAAATTGCTTGTAAGTAACTACATATTTTTGTGTTGTATTATTAGACAAATATGAAATTAAGTAGTAAATTTTTCTTTAATAAACTCATCCAAGCCATAGTGTAACATTGGTGTCCAAGTGTGAGTGGTCACCTCTCAGAGGAGTGAGGCGACTGACAAACGGTAATCATACATTTTACAGTAACCATTCAAAAATATTTATTTAAGCTCCTTAGCATGTATCATCACATGCTTCATGGACTCCTGAGGTAAATAAGGGTCTCGTATGTTGCTGTCTAATATTCCAGAAGATATTTCTCAAACAAGACCTTTTTTTTTTTTTTTTTTTTTTTTACACGGGGCTTAGCCCACCCGGGCATAGGTCACTAACCCACATCAGGGCCTACCATTAGACAACACATTATGCTTCCAATATCTTCCCAGGTGGTAGTACCTCCCTGTTTGATAGTTGCTTACTACCTACTACTGATATCATGATTTCTATAAACATCCATTAGAAGTTTCCAAATGAAGAATTCAGATGAATTTCATTACCTTGTCTGAGAAAGTGACACCTTGCTTAATAAAAAACGTAACATGTCTAATATGACCAATGTAAGAATGTTTCAAATCCAATATCTGTAATAATTAGAAACTTAACAATAATGTACTGTACAGCACATCTGCCTTTTATTTGTTTGTCTTAAACCCTGTTCTAGTGCCATACACATTCATTAATTCGTACATTTTTTCTGTGTACAGGTTTATATGGTGAACAAGTTATTTTACTTCAATACTTGTGCCACATCTGTGAGTTAGTGGCTTCCTGCAGACGTAAGTTGTCAGCAACGATGGAAGGAGGTCTTCTAGGAGCCATGGCTCTCTTACAGCACCTTCTTCCATATCTTACAGACAGTACTTTCATGGAACATTTACAGGTTAGTGCTACTGGTACTGAGTATCTCAAACATTTGTAGTATTTGTTCATGTGTAAGATTTAGTATTAATATTGGTATTTCTTTTTTTTTAATTTCAATACTGTATTACATTGACCTTGCCTTAACCTGGAGAAAGGCCAGAATGAGTAAAAAAAATTGAAAAATGAGGAAGTATTTCTGAAGTGAGGTAGTCCAGTCATATCAGGGCTATTCATAAGAGTTTTACCAGTACTGTAGTTGAGAAAAGTAATTTAATCTGACCCAGTTGTTCAGCTCATTTGCTACTGTTAGCTACACTTACTTCAGACCACATAAAGGTTTATTTTAATGTAGATTTAAACATTACACATTATTGGATATCATTCATGTAGTTCAACATCCTATGAGTACATGCATTTCTGTAACATTCTTATGAATACTGTACTCCACTATTAAAAAAGGAGCAGTCTAACAGGAACATTAGTAACAGGAACAGTAAAACCAGTAACATTTGGTATGATAGAATTTTGTAGAGTTTAATGGGGCTGTTTCATAAATGTTACAAAAACAGAAATATTACAAACAAAGAATCTGTATAATAGACATTACTGTAATCCAGATCAGTCAGTGTGTGCATGTAAGACTAAGGGAGGTTGTAGTCTCCTCTGTGTCATTTTCACTGGTGTAAATCTTTCTTCCTAAAGTTCTATATATCTGATACTTTTCCCTTTCAGCAAAAAAATAATTCATAATGTTGTCTACCATGTAATAATTCCTTGTAAGTTTTATTAATCTGCTCATTGTAATTTTCAGGAAACCTTAATACGTAATGCAGTGTATCCTGTCATTCGTCTCTTGTCGTCGACCAAAGTGAATTTTCCCCACGGTGGAGCAGCACGAGGGGTTTTAGCTTGCCGAGTTATTGATTGCCTTTTTATCATGGCTCTGAGAGTTGGCCGAGAAATGAGTAAAAGTATCTTGATGCCCACCGTCACAAGACTAATGACGGCCTTTGATAAGTGTCACAATAATTCTTCAAGCCAGCTCGGTGCATCACCAAGGTAAAGTGCCCAGGAGATAAATTCTTCTCTTAACTTTTTGAAGACGATGACTTAACCCTTTGAGGAAGATGACTTAACCCTTTGAGGAAGATGACTTAACCCTTTGAGGAAGATGACTTAACCCTTTGAGGAAGATGACTTAACCCTTTGAGGAAGATGACTTAACCCTTTGAGGAAGATGACTTAACCCTTTGAGGAAGATGACTTAACCCTTTGAGGAAGATGACTTAACCCTTTGAGGAAGATGACTTATCCCTTTGAGGAAGATGACTTAACCCTTTGAGGAAGATGACTTAACCCTTTGAGGAAGATGACTTAACCCTTTGAGGAAGATGACTTAACCCTTTGAGAATGATGATTTAACCCTTTGATGATGATGATTTAACCCTTTGATGATGATGATTTAACCCTTTGATGATGATGATTTAACTCTTTGACGATGATAATTTAACTCTTTGATGATGATGATTTAACTCTTTGATGATGATGATTTAACTCTTTGATGATGATGATTTAACTCTTTGATGATGATGATTTAACTCTTTGACGATGATAATTTAACTCTTTGATGATGATGATTTAACTCTTTGATGATGATGATTTAACTCTTTGATGATGATGATTTAACTCTTTGATGATGATGATTTAACTCTTTGATGATGATGATTTAACTCTTTGATGATGATAATTTAACTCTTTGATGATGATGATTTAACTCTTTGATGATGATGATTTAACCCTTTGATGATGATGATTTAACTCTTTGATGATGATGATTTAACTCTTTGATGATGATGATTTAACTCTTTGATGATGATGATTTAACTCTTTGATGATGATGATTTAACTCTTTGATGATTATGATTTAACCCATTGAGAATGATGATTTAACCCTTTGAGAATGATGATTTAACTCTTTGATGATGATGATTTAACTCTTTGATGATGATGATTTAACTCTTTGATGATGATGATTTAACTCTTTGACGATGATTTAACTCTTTGATGATTAACCCTTTGAGAATGATGATTTAACTCTTTGATGATGATGATTTAACCCTTTGATGATGATGATTTAACCCTTTGATGATGATGATTTAACTCTTTGACGATGATAATTTAACTCTTTGATGATGATGATTTAACTCTTTGATGATGATGATTTAACTCTTTGATGATGATGATTTAACTCTTTGATGATGATGATTTAACTCTTTGACGATGATAATTTAACTCTTTGATGATGATGATTTAACTCTTTGATGATGATGATTTAACTCTTTGATGATGATGATTTAACTCTTTGATGATGATGATTTAACTCTTTGATGATGATGATTTAACTCTTTGATGATGATGATTTAACTCTTTGATGATGATGATTTAACTCTTTGATGATGATGATGATGATAACTTTGATGATGATTTAACTCTTTGATGATGATGATTTAACTCTTTGATGATGATGATTTAACTCTTTGATGATGATGATTTAACTCTTTGACGATGATAATTTAACTCTTTGATGATGATGATTTAACTCTTTGATGATGATGATTTAACTCTTTGATGATGATGATGATGATGAAACTCTTTGATGATGATGATTAACCTTTGATGATGATGATTTAACTCTTTGTGATGATAATTTAACTCTTTGATGATGATTAACCTTTGATGATGATGATTTAACTCTTTGATGATGATGATTTAACTCTTTGATGATGATAATTTAACCCTTTGATGATGATGATTTAACTCTTTGATGATGATGATTTAACTCTTTGATGATGATGATTTAACTCTTTGATGATGATGATTTAACTCTTTGATGATGATGATTTAACCCTTTGATGATGATGATTTAACTCTTTGATGATGATGATTTAACTCTTTGATGATGATGATTTAACTCTTTGATGATGATGGCTTAATCCTTTCACGACGATGATTTAACCTCTGAGGACTCAAAGGGTTAAGGTTTTCTGAGGGTAGAACGAGTACTGTAGGAATAAAAAAAACCCACAAATTTTCAATATTTTGTTGCTGATTTTGGTCAATATAAGCTGCTACCCATTCCTAGTATTGTTGTCATATTGTGAACCTTTGGATGTAATGAAAATTGGAAGATATGATGTGGTAGAAGATGATGTGATGACTGATTGCAAAGATGGTTAGTGTGGATGTGGCTTTTAGGGAGTGGACATTGAAGATTGAGCATGTAAGGATAGGGTGATGAATGAAGATAGAAGAATAGATTGCTGTTTGAGGATACAGGTTGTACCTCTCTAGTCCCGCATTCTGTGGTCCGGAAACTCCCATGGTCCGGAACGATTTTAGTTTCTCCAATAGGTAGATGGGCAGTTTTTTTTTTTTTTTTTTTTTTTTTTTTTTTTTTTTTTTTTTTTTTTTTTTTTTTATTATTACAGGAGTATTAAATTTTTGCCCCTCAGGCTCCAATGTGGGTCAGTGACCTATGCCCGGGTGGGCTAATCCCCATAAAAAAAACCAACAACAACAAAGCCGGGGAAATTAAGGTTTGTTTACATCCGGCAGTTCGGCTGCTCTCTCTCTCTGCTTGTCTATACAGAGTACAACATTTAACCCTTCAGTATATATGAGCAGTAAATAAGTGTTGCTTTCATATTCTTATGTAGAGTAATGACGATATGTTTTCACATGTGCGCACTTACATACGCGCAGTCTCACTTTTTTTTTACCATTAATGGTTAGCTACATAATTGTTCCATTTATTAACATTAAATGACATTACAGGTACTTCAAACAACCATATTAATTTTTTTACATTAATTTTTCTACAGCTACAATCAGGGTCTTATTTTCTTCAGCTTTATATGTAGAACCAATCAGTCACTGGTTTTGTAAGCTTTAACATAAACAATGCCGGCAGCCGTCTCGTCTTCTCGTGTGTTTTAATATTCCACGTACAATATTATTAATAAATTGTATTGTTAATTTTGCACACACAAACATTAATTTAATAAAAACAAATTCAGAAACATTAATTCAAATATATATGAACAGTAAATAAGTGTTGCTTTCATATTCATATATAGAGTAATGACGATATGTTTTCACGTGTGCACACTTACATACGCAATCTCTCTTTTTTCTTTACCATTATCGTTAGCTACTTCTGTTGTTCCATTTATTAACATTAAATAACATAACTTAAAACAACCATATTAATTTTACTACAGCTACAACCAAAGTCTTATTTTCTTCAGTTTTATATGTAGAACCAGTCAGTCACTGGTTTTGTAATCAACGAAAACAACGCTGTGTCATTTCCTCGTGTGTTTTAATATTCTACGTATTATTAATGAATTGTATTGCTCATCTTGCACACATAAACATTAATTCAATAAAAAAGACATTCAGTAATATACAATAATGAATCTTTTGTACATAAGAGAAATGACGCTGTTTACACGATTATGCACGTCGTCTGCACGTTGGCGGGCCGTTCAAACTCATTAAAATTCAAGTCCGCCGTCAAAATTTTTATTTTTATTTTTGTGTGTGTTCCAATAAAATACGTTGAATTAAAATTTGAGAAGCTACTATACGACATTTAACCCTTCAATATGTCTTCAAAGAGACCATGATGCAGAGAAAGTGGTGCTACTGCTTCCTAGCATAAGCACAAGTCACTATCTATCCAGGAAAAGGGTGAATTTCCATGGTCCGGCACCGGACAGGTCCCGAGGTTGCCGGACTAGAGAGGTACAACCTGCATAAGGATAGATTGATATATAATGATAAATTTAAAATACTGTATAATGATTTGATGTGGAGGTGTGGTGTTTTGAAGGGAGGGATTAGTAATAGGACAAAAGATAAAGAGCATAAGAAAACAATAAAAATATAGCATTATATTGACTCCTAAAGAACAGATGACAAATTAGTGAAGGTGTTGGAAGGTGTACAGTAATCTAAAGGTTTTATTTAAAGGTAATTTATATACTGTACAGGAAACAGACTTTAATAATGTACTGTATTTGACAGATCACTTGAGGCAGAAGAAGTGCTAGGTGTTGGTGATGAGGCAGCGTCATCGTCGTCATCAGGTCTCCAAGCATCTCCTGGAACTAATGTAGACTCTGTTAAAGCAAAGGTGAGAGTTATAGTAATTTATTACTTCCTTGAAATTAACCATGAGCAGCTAACAGTGGATGCCATGAGCAGCTAACAGTGGATGCCATGAGCAGCTAACAGTGGATGCCATGAGCAGCTAACAGTGAATGCTATGAGCAGCTAACAGTGGATGGAAATTTTTACTTGCTTCTTTTGTCTCCTACTGGCACTTGTCATACATCTTTTCTCTGTTATTTCCTTCCTTTTTTGAGGTTTTCATTTCCCCGATTCTCACCATGCAAGACTGGGAGAGGCTAGTAGTACAGTACTGAATAACTCATCTGATATAGTAATTCATACCTGGTACAGTTATGTGTGAGTGATGGTTTTTCTTTGTTATAATATTTTTTTAGGTTGCAATAATTCCTTAGATGGCACTGTATTACTGTACTTTAACCCTTGGTGGATGTGTCCCTCAACAGTTGAAGGACAGAGGATCTCACCGTTGTGGACATACCCGGTATCCTACAGCTGTTGCAGTATATTTCTTGCTGGTCCAATTTGAATTTCCTTTGCTATGAGTTTGCTAAGTATCTTTGTGGAGGCTCCTGGCAACTGCCTCAAAGCAGTGTAGGTGTTTCAGACACATGTTCGTTAGTACTGGTTGAACAATGGCGGAGTCAAGACATGCATCTTCCACTCATGTGATGCTCACACAGGAAGAAATTACACTGTTATTTGTTATTTAGGAGACAGGGATGACCCTCCCATGCATGGTTGTGATCAGTGAATCTGTACACTTGAAATTAAATATTTGTAACATTATTTGTGAAGCACAACCTAAACACTTCTTATCTCACCTATAATGTAAGTTACACCATATTTTCCTCTCCTTGGAATCAGGATTTTATTTTCAATAAATGGATAAGACTCGAATGTTTTTTATGATTTTCTTTTTTAAATATTTTATATTTAGCTACATAAAATGAAAAGGTGTGCCCAATAAACTAGCCACTGCACTGTGTAAGGTTAATCTAAAATCTTAATCTAATTACCCAGCCAGCGGTCCTGAATGGGAGTTGTGATCACCATTCACAAGGGTTAAATCCATTACATAGTTAAGTGGATACAATCCTCAATGATTTTGTGATGGTTTATTCATAAAATCTTTAATACAGCAGTTGTAATAATTGTATCCATTGTTAGCTTACGGTATATTTTTCAGCTCTTATCAAGAAAAGTCCTGAGATGTGAAATTCAATATTTAACTTAAACCAAGTATTGTATGGGTAACCTTCAGTGTCTGTGTTGCATAATTTCTTTTGCAAGTTTTTGTGATATACAGTATAGCAATTGAAATGCATTTTTAGAGCTTTATTCTTCTTGCTCTCAAGTCTCAACTAAAAAAAAAAAATGCCTTCAGTACATGAGGTACTTTTTCATTCACACACCATTTCTTGCTATGATGGAAGATGATAGTCCACTAAAAGGTTGTTCCACCATCAGTCAAGACACCCAATAGTGTACAGTATTGTTCTCAATTATTACTAAGAGTATAAGGAGGGAACCCAATCCTTTCAAACCAGGAATCAAACCTATGACCTTTCTCTTGTGAGGCAAACACTACCATCTGAACTACACAGCCTTATATGCATATATTAGTTGAAGGTTTAATCCCTGTCAGTCAGCTTTCATACACACTGAATTTTTTTTTCCACTACCCCTGACCTGCTCCTGCCACAGTCTCTTCACTGTACCCCTAGGTTTTACAAACAGTTCACTCAGTTACTAACACAATTGATGACCAGTACATTTTACTCTTTTTTTATTTTGTTTTTATTTTTTCAGGCCTTAGAGGAACTTAAGCAGGTTCTGACGCCTGAACTGGCCTACCTCTCGTATGTACCACTGTGCAGGTTCTTGGGAGCATCTTACATGGAAGCAACTCTGCCCAATCATGATCTCTTGCGGTCTCTGTGTCTTCAGTACGATGAAAACAACCAGGCTGATCATGCTGCAGGTAATAATTATTATTACAGTCTCTCCTCGACTTACGACGGGGTTCCGGACCGACGACCAGGTCGTAAGTCGAAAAGGTGAAAATAATACATAGAAAATCTAAAATGGGTGTCTCTTTTTCTTCTCACCACAAGAACTCATACTTTTACGCTTGCCAGCCATTTTAAAGGGAATTGCAAACGAAAATTTTGTCAGTACACAGCGCGATCACTAACGTCGGGACTCGAAAATACGTAATTTGAAAAATATTTTATACGACTGCGGCGGTCGTATGTCCGGGTGGTCGTAAGTCGAGTAGGTCGTAAGTCAAGGATATCAAAGCAAGTTTAGCAAGTTGTGTTTGTTTTGTTTTTATATCATCTTTCATCCATGGTTCATCTTCCAATTTGCTTTCCTGCTGCAAAATATCAACTGGATGAGCATTTGTGGGATGAAATTGTTATCCCAGAATATTAGTCGTTTTACTGTAAAGAGAAAGACTGTTGATGTATAAAGTGTATGTTTTTCTAATTATGAGCAAGTAACAAGCCTTATGTTTGTGAGGCATTAAAGTAGGCATTGTATCTGCTGGTGAAGTATGATTAATTATAACACTATATAATGTTATGTTGCAGAGAGATTCTTTGTTACTCAAGCTTTTTCTGCAGAATTAATTGATATACACAAATTTATATATAAGAAACATTGTACAGGGGGCCCCCCAAATTGGCGGATTCTTTTTTGGCTGTCCTCTATTATTCGTGGATGACACTGGATGTACCCAAGAATGTCTGTGGGCAGTCTTTAAAGTTGCTGGCATTTTCGCGGCTGGGACAGGGAGCCATTCGTTCTAGAGACAGTAATTTCCTTTACCTGTATTATAGATATGTGTGTGTGTGTGTGTAGACACACACACAAAACAGATACAAATAAATAATAATTGGAAAATCCTCTCACAAATAACCAGAATTTTTTTTTTTTTTAAATATGACAGTCTACCCTCAAGTCCGTACTTTATTAATAGAGCACGGACTTGAGTGAAGTCTCGCATTTTAATAATTTTTTCTGATTATTTGTGAGAGGATTTTCCAATTACTATTTCTTTGTATGTGTTTTGCATGTTTGTGTGTACAGTATGTATGTGTGTGTGTGTGTGTGTGTTTACACACACACACATACAACACTGCAGGTAAAAGAAATAATTGTCCTAAGGGCAAACACATAAAGGGAATACAGTATAGTCTGCATTTACGCGGTCAATTGAACCCAGAAAGGGCCGCGTAAAACGAGAAACGCGTAAACGAAATAACAGAACATATGGGATTAATTGAAATAGAGACTGGGCCGACCCCCAAACTCCACTTTTTCCGACACAATACATACGTTATAGTAAAAATAACATCTTAATTTTATGATGGTATGCACACACAATTAATAATTAAGAGAAATATCAAATATATTAGGTTTTTTAACACTTACGTTAGTAGAAAAGCTGGGTCGGCACACGTGGATGGCGGCTGGTTCCGAGGCAGAGGGCAGATTAGTTGCCCTCTGGTGAATCACTTTCACTTTCACTACTCGCAGAGGTTTGCAGGGCCTCCCAGACAAACCCCTCAAAGTCCATATCCTCACTGTCACTATCACTGACTTGGGCTGGCTGTGTTGGGTTGCGGGCGAGAAGTCCTCGATACTACGTTGACGACTAGCATTGATGTTGTCGAGATAGATCTGGATATACGGCTCCATAACTTTCGTCAGATGGTTATTAGACGCTTCATACCGATGCTTGTCTGGGTCGTTGTCAAGGACGAGCTTAATTTTCTCCCCCAACTCGATGATTTCCTTCACACTATCATGGCTTGGTCCAGGTAATTCAAGGTTTTTCTCGGGATAGTGGGGGGTCCAGCGGAAGCCATTGTGAGGGGAATAGCGGGCACAAGAGAGAACTGTATACGCGGATTGAGAACAATGAGACAGGCCTGGCTAGGTCAGCGATTTCTACCCTCTGGTGGCAGGGCACGTCATGTTACATTAGACCAATCACAGCTAGCGGCGGAAGGAATGCGGGGGTGGTAAGGATGCGTGGCCCAATCACAGTCTGATACGTCATATGACGTCAGCGATAATGTAAGAGCGGCCTAATGCGCACCACTCACCGCGCCGCTTCCCGCTTATGGTCAAGAATGGACCGTGTGAGTAAAAAATGGCGCTGCGGTCTGGACGTCTCCAGCCGCTCACCGCGTAAATGATGAAATTTACCGCGTAATTAAAACATTTCATTCTGGCAAGGCACTGCGTAAATGACCAAATGCGTAAACAAAAACCGCGTAAATCCAGGCTATACTGTGTACATTTCTTTGTACACAAGTAAGAATGTAACAAAAACACTCCCCCCCACCTGGCTCTGCAAATGTTATTCGCGGATTTGGCAATTCGCGACCATTTTGAGAACCTAACCCCCTCGAATTTGGGGTACCCCTGTACTGTACTAACAACATGAGAGCCCTAGGTCATTTCGTGCTGGCAGGTACATTTGGCAAATTATTTTTCCTTATAACTATGGTAAGAGGTGGTCACTTGTCTTGTGCAAGGTATAGACTAATAATGATTTTGTTGGTCCGTTTGTCTTTTAATTGGTGCTAAAAAATAGTATAGATCTGGTTAGATTAGTCTACAATTTTTATATAATTTTGGATGATTGATTCAAACTTGAACAGAATAACCCAGTTAGGTGCATTCTTATGCCTCTATTTATGAGTAAAGATTAACCTAGAACATTTGAGATTCCAAGCCCAGATTTCTTAAGTAAGTTAGCAAGTTTTCCAGAGACAGTGTCACTTTATGCTTTAAGAACAATACAACACAGTGTTCTGTTTTATATGATGATTAAAATGGTTTCTCTGTATACTGTAAGTTTAAAAGCGTACATACAGCAAATTTATTCTGAACTAGACTTAAATGTACAATGTTTTGATAGTATTGACAGATGATGGCTTGGCATTAAACAACTCCACAGCTGTGGTAGATGACACAAGTGGAAGAAAAACAAACAACCGGAGCCCCAACGTGGCCGTCACTGGGAACAGGATCGACATAAGGGTCAGTTATAACCTCTCTCTACTCTTTACTATTACAAATACAATAGGTTAGGGTGTTAAGTTAATAGATCTATATACTTTACCATAATTGTCTTTATTTATTATCTTTATTCCTTCTCTTTTGTGTGGAATGGTTCAGTAGTTATAGAAACCTCAGTTAAACAGATAAATGATGGTGAAAGTGAAGCAAGATGTGTATAGAGAATTACAAACAAGGGATAAAATAACAAAAACTTGTCAATTAATTGGAAGTATACAATATTGATTGTCAAAATATGTTCTGTTAACCATAATTAAAATTATATACAATAGAGGGTGTTTTGGAGATGTGTTTAATAATTCTGGGGTGTATTCTTACATAAGGATAAATGACTTCGTGACCATAGTGTCATCACCCCATACGTCTGGAGTTATAACATGACAGTTGGGGCTGGGGTGAGATAAAATGATGGAGTTTAATTGAAATATCCTGAGTTGCGATTACAATTCATTCACAATCACATGAAATCTGATATGGATTTTACAGTAAATATTCAAAGTTCCGACCCTCTTCCTGAATGTTGCCACTTACTTTATTTTAAATAGTGCTTGACAATTTAAGTTTCATGTCCATAGACTTGTTGCAGTCCTCATCTACCCAGTTTTGTGTTATAACCAGAACTATGGGGTATTGACACTTTGGTCATGGAGTTGTTTATCCTTAAGTGTGTTTCAAGAACACACCCCCGGAATTATGAAACGTATTTCCTAAAACCCCTATCTAAAATTTTTCTCCCCGGACTCTCGTACTTATGTGTGATGCTTTAAGTCTTATAGATTTGCAATTATCCATTGACGCAACTCCACAAAAGGGGGAGACGAGAAAGAAGAGAACTTATATTTTGTAATTAATATATTTTGGTGTTATGATTATAATTTTAGGATGCCCCAGATGGCTTCTCCAACCCTCAGTGTGACCTTCCTCCTTCCATTGGCTTTGACACCACAGTTGATATAACAAAATACACTGGCAGCAGAATGGAGAATACTCAAAGGTAATCATGACAGTTAGTTCGATTTTTTTTTCATGCCATATGCAGTATATTATGGGTTACCGTTAGCTATTTTCTGGACTGACACCTTGGGTGTGTGTGTGTGTGTGTGTGTGTTTGTGTGTTTGTGTTTGTGTGTTTGTGTTTGTGTTTGTGTGTTTGTGTGTGTGTGTGTGTGTGTGTGTGTGTGTGTGTGCGTGTGCGTGCGCGTGCGTGCGTGTGCGTGCGTGTGTGTGTGTGTGTGTGTGTGTGTGTGTGTGTGTGTGTGTGTGTCGGCTTCCAAGACAAATATTATATGGCAAGCTCTCACATGGAAACCGCTCGGCGTGTGGACAGAAAGAGAGATATATGGACCACTCTAAAACTCCACTCAAGTGCTGTAATATCCAACCAAATTCACTGGAGCAACTAGCCTCAGACCGTTCCTTATGGCGCTCAACATGCCATACAGGAGCGGAAACAAATGAGACCTCACTGAACCAAAAGAGAGCTACTAAACGAGCCCAACGACATCAGAGGGCTCAAGGCACAATTCCTCTCAATGAACAACATCCCTGTTACCTATGTAACAAGATCTGCGCCTCCAGGATTGGACTCCATAGTCATCTAATGTGGCATCAGAGGAATAACACATACGGTAACTCATCAATCATCTCATCTGGAGCAACGTCGTCATCGACTTAGATGGACTGCCGAAAACAAGTGTGTGTGTGGGTGGGTGGGCGGGTGGGCGGGCGGGCGGGCTTCTGTTTTGGTTTGGCCCAACAGCTACCATCAGGTTATCACAGCTAACCCACGCAAGCTTAGAAAATGGCCATAAAGCATTTATAATAATGAATACCTCCCATTTTAGCTTTGCACACCTTCTTGAGAGCAGGTACCACGTCTCCATTTATGAATCATACGCAATACTTTGGCAGTAAACCACATAATTTTATTAAAAGTCTTCATGGATTGTTGCTAAATACTATATCTCACTTTTGAACAGGTCATTGATTTTTTAATACCAGTTTTATCCAACCATAAATAGTATGGTTGGTTCCAAAGATATTCATGTTTTAATGTTTACCAAACTTGAATCGCCTTTTTCTCTGTTTTTAAAGAATGTCACTTTTGCCCTTACTACTGCGGTGGCCTCAATTAATCTATATATAAAAAATACTTAGTATCACATACCTGGTAATGCAGGTAAAGATAAACTGAAGCAGTTTCTGGTATATGTTTGTATTGGCATGGCATGACATTTTTTAAAGAGAAATATAATTATCCTTACAGGCATTTACGAGGAAATTGGCTGGCTTACTGGGAGCATGAGATTGGCAGAAGTGAACAAGATGCCAGATTCAACTTTAAACAAATCAAACTACAGACGTTTATAGGGCACACTAACAGCGTGAAATCTATACACGTACTTGACAATGAAAATTCCTTCATCTCTTGCAGTAAAGATAAGACTGTGAAGCTGTGGTCCTTACGTAGCCAGGTTAGTATCATCTATGGTGTCCTAGATTATTATTGTTTGTATTATGTAAAAACAGAATAATTTGTAGGTCAAAATTTATGATTAATGAAATATTTTTAGATTATCAAAAGAGTGTGTTCTTTCAACCAAAGCCGTGACACATCCCCATGCAGTATCACCACAGTTTTGGTTTGCAGTAAAGATTGCGTTAATATACAAAATATTAAGTGAGTGTAAAGATCAATAGAGACTTTACCATTAGGCAATCTTCAAAATGTAGAGGTTACTTGGTTCAAAACAGAAGTCATAAGAGAAAAGGGAAATGAAAATATGAGGACCACTTTCACAATAATAGAAAAGCACAAACTAGTCATACTGAAGGTTCAATGCTTGTTTGTAGGAATTTCTCTTTATTAATATACCGGTACTATACATCACTGAATTTATGGAAAGTAAAAGGCAGTTTTGATGTTCTGTATGTCAATAGTAACATAGTGTTATCCTCCATCTCTAAGTGTCTCAATTGTCTATAAGTACACCAAGGTAGCTACTTGTTGACCTTCCCTTTCCCTAATATGTGCCTTATGAAGTTGTTCTACTTGTATTGCCTAGCATAATGCATCTGTTACAGCGGTAAGAGTAAATTGTTGACAGTGAATACAGGAAGTGTGTGTATGTGTGTTTGTGTGCATGCATTTACCTTGTTTCCAGTCACCCTGCAATATAAGTAAGACTCAAGTAATATGTACAGGGGTATTTTACTTCTTTTTAAATGGATATGCTCGTACAGGGTGATGGAAATGCCCACATCAGTGCACAGTGGACGTACACCGGTCACAAGAAGTCTGTGTTTGGGGTCACTTTCTCTGACTCAATGCGGTATGCTGCATCTTGTGACTCCACTGTTCACGTATGGGATCCCTTTATCTGTGCGGGGGTGAAGCAGCTGGATTCCCTTCGTCATAGTCCTGTCACTGTAAGTTAATAATACAAGTATTTATTTAGAAGCTTTTAATTACAATGCTTATATCACCTCTGCAATAGGGTTCCAACTGGTCCTACTTCCTTCAACTTTGTCCCAGAATCTGCTCCAATGTTCCCAAAATCCTCTCCAACATTCATAGTCTGCTCTAGTATTCTTAGAATCTACTCAACATTCCCAGAATCTGCTTCAACATTCCCAGAGTCTGCTTCTACATTTCTAGAATTGAATCAGATCTCAATAAATTCACACTTCAGTGCACTTTCAACAGGTCACCACTATATATATATATATATATATATATATATATATATATATATATATATATATATATATATATATATATATATATATATATATATATATATATATATATATATATATATGTAAATCCACAATGAAAACGTGGATAAGATAAATCTTGATAAAATCACACGGGAAAATGGAAACAACGGAGTACCTTTGCTTTCGTCTTTATTCAAGACATCTTCAGAGGCAACTGGACTACATGGACAGAGAGAGGCTTAAATATACAGGGTGACCTTAAAAACATGAGGTCAGGTCATAATGATGTCATCCACTAATCCCCACACCAACACACACGTAGAAGAGCTTAAGAGAAGGAGGTTGACGTGACTAGTCAGGTCAGGTCAAAAATAAGGGACCCACTAAATAACTATCATACATCTAGATCAAAGGTTTTCAAAGCATTTTTAACCTTGGGCCACTGACAAATAAATTTATGTAACATATTATCAGTTTTGAATTGACCATCACTAAGGCTTATTGATTTTAATTCCTTAATCAAACTAGCTATGAATGCCTAAACATTACTAAGAAAACTTTTTATAGAACTGATCCCAAGCCCACCCATGACCATAAGAATATCTTAGTATTACCATTTCACAAAAATTTCTCACACATTCCTTTACAACTAAAAACCTGGAACGCCAATGTGGCATTTAAAAACCTCATGCACTGTTAAACAAATGTTAATCAAGAACTCCCCCAACAACACAATTGGTTGCATTTATAAAGTTCCTTGCAAAGAATGTAATATGTTTTACTTAGGCCAGACAGGTAAAGATCTTGTAACCAGACTTAAACAACATAAATATAGTGTTAGGACAGGCCAGGAATCCAATGCTCTGTTTGTTCATTTGAGGGATAACAAGCATTGCATTGACTGGGATAATGCCTCCTCAATATTACCTTGTAATTCAATTGATAGCAGGAACATCACAGAATCTAGTCTCGTTAAACATACCGAAGCATTCAACATGAATTTGAGTAATGGCATGTACAAACTGGACAATTTTGTAATTAAGAAGATTTGTAACCAGGTAAGAAGGTTGGGTCACCTTACCCTCTGACCTGACTACCGACCGTTGCGGTGCTATTTAAAGATTAGTAGGGTCATTACCTAATACCTGACCATTGTGGACCTGGTCTCACCCTCCTCTGTATATGTACACCTTGTTTTGTACTTCTCTTTAGTCTGTACTCACCCCTGAAGATGTGAATTACACGAAAGCGCTTGGGAACTTCGTGTTTTCTTCTTTCCTTGTGGTTATCAGCATATACGTAGATCACGCGCACCTACAGTGATTTACTTGCACACATATAGTAAAAAAATATATATATATATATATATAAATATTATATATATATATATATATATATATATATATATATATATATATATATATATATATATATATATATATATATATATATATATATATATATATATATATATATATATATATATATATATATATATATATATATATATATATATATATATATATATATATATATATATATATATATATATATATATATATATATATATATATATATATATATACTGTATCTTAAGGTGTATCCAACAGTCCTGTCCATCTGTTGTCCAAATACTCCACCACATTGAATTATTTTCTTATAGTCATATCAGTAGCCATCACCTCATCAGTATTGTTCCAGCATCTCGCATTTCAGCATGTTTCCCAAACACTTTCAACACTAATCTAATAATTGTCAACATGTTCTTCTACATTACAGTTCAGCATTTCTATATAACTTCAACACACGTAACTTTGCTCATTGTAGATGAAAAATTTGTTTGTATCAATAAAGTTTTTTTTTACATCTTCCAAAAATATTTTGATTGATCAGATGCAACACAGCCAAATCTTTTATTTAAAAAAAAAAAAAAAAACTTGACTACTCTTAAACTTATGCTCTGAAAGAATACACATTAAATTAGGTAAAAAATATGTTTTCTCATGGATAACATTTTATTGGTCCAATTTCTTTAAATTGTGGCATTGCCTCTGAAATTACTTCCAGGTATCCCCCTATTTATGATTATCTGTTTTACCATGTTCTACGTTAATGCTGATTAAGTTTTAACACCCTCGATCGATTTGTGTCAGGCAAAATCCACGTTAACGATAGTGGTTCAGGATTAAACAATTTAATGAGCACAAGGTTAGTTTAATTTGAACAAATTTCAAATTGCATTTGTCAAAAATTAACAAAAATTGCTATGATAAACAATAAAATTTATACAGTACATAGTGTATCATAAAATACAATAGCACATATTTTATGTTCAAAAATAGCTCCTTCCACACTTAGATCATCCTCTGGGCAGGGATAGATCCAGAGGGGGGAGGGGCTCCTGGGGGTCCGCCACACACCCCCCCCCCCTTTTTTCAACAGAAAATTCCAATACTTTTTCTTTAATGCAGTACTGTATTGTACTCGGGCATTTTTGTATAGTAAAACGTAATTATTATTGACCTCAGAATATCTCCCACCATTAAGTGCACATGGCTTCAAAATGGCCTCAAAATGCCTATGATATTGGACAGATTAAAAAATAAATAAATGGGGGGGTGGGGGCATACAACCCCAAAAAAAAACAGCTGGGTGGGCGCACTGTGCCCGCCCGCCATGTTTCCCCACCCGCAACGTCTTGGACCCCCTCCCCCCATTTGATATTCCTGGATCCACCCCTGCTGGGCAGTGCATCCCAGTTCAACTGTCTGACAACCAGCTGACTCTCAGAAGTGTGTATGCCATGACGTCACATTAGGGGAAGGAGAGCGCAGCAACACATACAGCCCACCTCCACCACATACATTTACTTTCCACACATACCCCGGTACACACCCATGATCTTCATTTTTCTTGTTTTATACAGAAGTTTTATATTATATTTTCTTTATTTCTAAGCTACATCGTTTATATAGAGCGAATTAAGTGATAATGAAGTCTGTTTTCTGGAAATTTGTGCATTTTCATAAGCATTTAAATTAAAAAAAATATATATTATTTTTACTTTTTCTCAACGAGGATGGTCAAGCGCAAAACACAGTACTGTAATTGGGAACATTCATGAAACTGCGCGGATTTGCAGAAAAAAGGCTTCTGAGACACCAATTTGCGAGGTCAGCCTGTAATTTTGAAAATGGCTAGCAAGCGTCTTGCTGACTCTCCCACCTCTGTATAAGGTTTCAAGGAAGACCGTGTCTCTGGAGACGAAGTTAGACATTGTTAAGCGGCTGGCTTGTTATTAGTAATGGGCGAGTGTTATTTAATTTTTTTTATTTAATTTGTGTAGGATCATTTTTTCTGTGTTACATGTCTGTGTCAGACAAGCCAGGAATGTATTCCATTGAAACCCATGTTAAAAGGAATCCAAATAACATTAGGGTTTTCAGGAACACAACTTTATCGTAAATAGGGGGATACCTATCGTAAATAGGGGGATACCTGTATATATCAAGGCTATAATATATCCTTATCTCGGTATCTTAGATCAGAAAGAAGACAATTTTCTCTGTACACTTTAAGTTCTGGCTGGAGCATATGTGGCCATTGAAATACATACAGTACTGTATAAGAAAGTGAGTGGAGTCCAAATTATGTGATTGAACAGCAGCCATGTTGACTTTCTGTGGGACAAAGATAACTACGAGTAACTTGGAGATAAATGTAATGTTGAGCTGGGAGCAGTTTATAAGCATTAATGATTTGGCCTTCCCATGGTCTAGGTTTGGAAAGGCATTCATGGAACAGAGGAGAGTTTTTCATGCTGTCTTTAGTTAAACCACATAATTTTATACCTGAATATTACCCAGGTACTGACGGCTATGGCTGCACCTTCCACACAGTTAGTGGCAGCAACAACAGATGCAACTCTCAAGTTTATTGACCTGCGTACCTGTAACTATACCCACGAGTTTAAGGTAAGTTATGTTATATTCCCTTAGACTATCAAGTGTGTATTTATTGTTGGGAAAATACATGATGGCTCAACTTGATGTAAACAATGAATTGATTTATAAGCATTGTGAGTTATACTGTATTAGATAAGATATTGTTTGGTGATGATAGAATATTATTGGTACTGTAAATGGTGATGTAAATATAAGTTGACTTATGAGTATACCATACATATTTAATAAACAATATATGAATATGTTGTGAATTTAACCACTAGGTATCCATGGGAGGTGCAGGTCTAGTTCGCTGTATTGACACAAGTGGTGACGGACGGCTCGTCACGGTAGCGCATTCCTCTGGTGTTATTTCAGTTCTTGATACACGAACAGGACATCTCCTTTCAACCTGGAAGCCACATGAGGGAGAGGTACAATATTCTTGTTTAGTTATTGGTCAACATACTGTACTTATACTACCCACACATATCCCCATAGACTCTCAGAGCCGGATTAAGGGTTTTGTAGGCCCTGGGCACTTTTTTATCGTAGGCCCCTAAATTTCCTGATGCACCATTATGTGCCTTATTTTACCTTCACAACCTCCAGACATCACGCCAACACCGTGCGTGCTGCCACCTATGGATAACAGTAACTAATGGGTTAGTTGACACAGGCAGAGATGCTGAGATGTAAGTTTTTCCATAATTTTAGGTTAGTCTGTTGTATTGCGGTTTTCGCATGTGAAATCTAACAAATATACTCGTTATTATGCTTAGGATAATTATGGATTTGCATATGTGCATAAGCAAATGCATATTTTAGCATTTTTGAGCTAAGGTTTAAAGGATGTCTAAGCACTAACCAAACAGATACTAAATTTATGTTTATAATCATTGTCTTATGACTGCAATCTATTTCTCTCTTGTCAAATTTATCGATTATTTTCATTTACCTAATTGGAACATAAATACAGTGAAAATACATACATTATATCTCAAATTTCGTAGGCCCCTTAAACCTTCGTAGGCCCTAGGCACTGTGCCCCCTTGATAATCCGGCCCTGCCCATAGTAATAACAGATGCTATTGTCTCACTCATGGTGTTGTATGAACCAAGATCAATGAACAGGGTGTGAAGATTGTGTGCTCCTTTTAACTGTGATATTTGGTGGTTAAGTGTAGTAATTTAGTATAATTAAGATGACAATGTTTAGTCCTGTGGTGATACTGTATTTGTATTTGTTGCATTAGGGTAGCCTGAAGGCTCTTCTGCCTTGGTCCCCTGTCAAAGGGTATTGAGGTATTTTAGACAAGATAATAACAAGGACAGGATGGAAAATATGGACACTGCACAGTGTAATTCCCAACAATAGAGTTTGTATATTTATAGAGGAGATTAACATCTTTCTCATTATAATAATGGTGATCATTTACAGTAGTCATCTTATAACTTTAGTTAAAACCATCTTATACATACAAGTATGTAATGTAATGTATCTGCATAATTAGAAAAGTTTGATGTCAATCTACCTCTGTATTAATATTTTGTTATTTGTTAGATATTCCCTGTTAAGCATGTACCCCCCCCCACCCCCCTTTTTCAGTATTACTGGATGATATGCCATGAATAGCCTGACAGATTCACTCTTAACTTATATCACATATATTGATGAGATTTAGTTTACCTTAAATAATTTATGACATAAGAAATTTAGTTCAGCAATTAAAGATACACATAAAATGGAAAGTATGTACATGTATAATGTTGCTATTAAGAGGGAATATTTACTGCCAGGTTCTATGTATGAGGTGGTACAAAGATGGAACATTCATCAGCTCAGCTTTGGACCAGACTGTATCAGTTTGGAGTGTGGATGATAACAAACTCAAATTCACTCTGAGGTGAGACAAAGAACATCTGTGTTGTGATATTTCTACTAGATTATCTATGTATCCCTTCATATTCACTTTACTGTATATTCACCCATAATGCAACAGTGTGTTTAATACATATATCTTCTATACATCATGTCCTTGCAGAGTATTTGTTACATACCCCTCTAGCAAATATGCTCCTTTAATATTTGTGATGTTTATCATATTTATTTACTCTTAATAAACACAAATATTTATCTATTAATTTGCTTTAAACAAAATATTTCTCTGTTTTTGAAGCCTCAGTGATCCATTTTTTTTCTTTTTTTTTGGTTCAGTACTGTATACCAGTAGTGTATACTTTGACCTCTTCAATGCACAGTCGACAAAGAAAGTTTTTGAATGCTCTAAGCTTCATACAATAAGACAAAGCAAACAAGAAATCTGAACATTGCTCTCAGGAAGTTTTGTTGCAAATTAAATTACTTCTTTTCACCTGTAGATGCCATAAAGATAAACAACATATTTTATTACAAAAAAATATTGAGAGTCACTTCACATCTAGTCATACCAACCATCCTGAGTTGACAAGAACCATGGTGCTCATTCTGAAATCTGTCGTGCTCAGCTGTTCAGGAACTTATTTTGCTGACTGTACCTTGTCACTGGTCACATTATCGTTGTATCCTTCATGTATTCTTGTAAACTTATGAACTTTTTTTTTTTTAAACCTGGAAAGTATTTGTTTTTGCATTTTTCAAATGAGTCTGCTGTTATAGATCTATCTTTCACTGAGCATAATAATTTGGTTTGCCTCATTCTTAACAAAATGCACCAGGTATGATGGCACCAAACATATGCTCTGTATAGCTCTTGTAAGTTTGCTTCTTGCTGTACTGTACCTCCTTTCATCACTAATTCTGGTGCCTCAGCATTTCCACCAACCATGAATATCTGAGTATTTTAAAAGAAAAGATAACATATGCATGATGAAAATTTAAATTCTTTTGAAATGCATTTACATTCTTACTTTTTTCCTGTAGGGGTCCAACTGAACCAGTCCATTTGATATGTCTCTATGGAGATGAAGTGATTACTGGTACTACTGCCAACCGCATTGGTGTCCACACATCTGTGTCCCCAACAGCATCTTTCTCATCAACAAGACTAAGGTCAGACACATTCCGAGGTGTTTTAACAACAATGGCTGTTTTACCACTTAATCGGTTGCTTCTTTTAGGAGCTGATAATGGAACTATAAGACTACTTTGCTGAAATACAAACTTTTAAATGAAACTAACATGAAAAGAATTTCCCATCATCACATCACATAAAGAAGTGAGACTCCTTAAATGAAAATTAATGATCATATTAATAATTTCCGACTAGCATATCATATCAATCTTACAAGAAGTGAGAGACTCAGACCACAAAGTCCATCCCATAATAATAAACTTAGTGTTACGGTGAATATATAACTGGAAACTTATGAAAGGAAACACAGTGTTTTGAGTTTACGTTTACAAATATCTTTGCACTGCATTTACAGTTCTGTAACATTGACCTATACTTTCTTTCTCATATCTTTACTCAACTACCACTTCTGTGTGAGTTGGATTAATGGAGACAGAAACCTCAAAGAAAGAAAGAGATAATTATTAGGGGGGAGGTGAGAGATAATGATGGGGAGGGGTTGAGAGATAATTATAGAGGGAGGTGAGAGATAATTATAGGGGAGAGGAGGTGAGAGAATTATAGAGGGAGGTGAGAGATAATGATGGGGGGAGGGGTTGAGTGATAAGTGAAGATATCAACAGGAATGGGCTAAAACAACAAATAAAAACCACAGGAAAGGGAAAATGATAATTGAATGAATCAAGACAAGTGTAGAGAGTAAGAAGAAAGGGCCAATATTCACACATAATTGTTACCTGAACTTTGATATTCACAATTTGATTATTACTCGTAACTTTGGATGCATATATCACTCTCTGCTTCTGTTGGCATTATTACAGGTCACTGTTAATCTCAAACACATGAAGTTAGTTTGATTTATATAGTAATCTTTCTTATCTCAGTTTTAGTCATTTATAATTTTAGTTTATTTCAATGTTTGGTTCTCTGTTGAACCATCCATTGTGTTACTGAGCTGTAGCTTTATGCACCTAAGTCTATTCATTTTATTTCCTGAACTGTACTGTCACTGATATTCATGTACAGGTACAAAGCTGTCTTGAGTAATTCAATGACACACTTCTCTTTTAATATATATTTTTATGTTTGTATTTCACTTAGTTTATTGATTTAATGAAATTAATAATTAGTATATATATTTTATTCACGTTCAAAACAATGAACACACAGAATAGGTAGGAGAGGCTTAAGTTAGTACAGGTATCTACAGTATCAGGCTTAGAGGCCATAATGTATTTGGATATGCAACATACCTGTTTTAGCAAAATATTTACAACCTACATATCACAACCATTTTCAAATGTTCATAATTAGCTTTAGTCACCTTTTCAATACCTATCCGGTACCTTTTATATATATATATATATATATATATATATATATATATATATATATATATATATATATATATATATATATATATATATATATATATATATATATATATATATATATATATATATATATATATATATATATATATATATATATATATATATATATATATATATATATATATATATATGTGTATATATATATATATATATATATATATATATATATATATATATATGTATATATATATATATATATATATATATATATATATATATATATATATATATATATATATATATATATATATATATATATATATATATATATATATATATATATATATATACACACACATATATATATATATATATATATACACACACACACACACAAACTTCATGTTTTCTACTGTTTCATGCAATTTGCATTTGTGACCTGATAGGCAAGAATGGTTAGGGTGTCCTAGGGCACTGATGTAGTGTTTGGCCAACTGAGGTACACCACAGTAAGCAACACCCACCAACCCGACCTGGCCATGGGACTGATTCCGTGTGTCTTAGGTCAAGGATCTAAGAGTGCTAACAGTTGATCTATTGTGTGTATCACTAACTAGGCTGTAATATTAAACCTTAAAGATATTCCCATTTTTATTGTAAGGTAAAAAGCAGCTGCTGAATTTTATCCTAGTCTAAAACGTTTGGGATTTTAAACCATAGACACATTACAAATTTCAACTGGTATCTGTTCTTTCAAGAAAAGTTACAAGATTAAGACATCCAACTACAAGACCAATGAATCTTAAATGTGGGAGGAAAATGTCACAACTTTTTGCATGTTATTGAAATATTGGATGATATTTACAGTATTTTCAATGTGGATTGTTGTAAAATGTGAACGATTACAGTGTAACAGAATGAATGGTTATTGTAAATGCAATTTTTACCACAAAAAATTCTGCATACAATACTCAATAAATTATAAATCTGCAGAAAATTTTATATAATAATAAACAAAGCAGATGTTAAAGAAAATATTGCTTTGCTATAATTTTTAATGATCTACTATGGTCATTATTGTTTTTATTACTGTTATTATTATTCCTAAGACTGTTTAGTGATGTTCTTGTGATTATTTCTATTTACTTTGTACATGTATCTGTATGTGTGTACAGTAAGTGTGATGCAACTGGGGTAATCCAGATATTGGGATTTGTTGGAGAATGGGAGTCCCATGGCAGAATACGTAAGAATGACTGAATGACAGCAAGTGAAGGGAAAATTATGTACGTATACTGTACACAGTTGCTCTTGTTATGACAATCCTGCATTAACATGTTACCTGCATATTAGTTCACTGGTGTAACGAGTATGGTACTTCATGTTGTGTGTTTGTACACCAGTGGCCACCCTGGATTCAGTAGAAGGGTGAAAAAATTGCTAGACGAGGCTGTATTTATTGTTGTGTGATGTGTTGATCCACCGGTGAGACACTACTTTTACCGCGTCATGGCCATCCTTAATCCAGAGACATTCCAATCACCTCCTTTCACTATGATGCTTCGAGGCATACTCCAGTACTCAGAAATGCAAGGGGAGGGGGCTTTTGCCATAATGCTAGAAAGTACAGTAATAGAAAACTAATAGAACAGTTGAGATAGTGATAATTATAGTTGGACCAACCTTATGATTACAGCTGCTCAGAAGTTAAAACAGTCTCAGCTCTCCTAGGATAGTCTTAAAGTTGCATCGTGTGTCCTAATAACATAAAGTACGTACACTGTATTTCATGCATAATCGTACAGGTAATAAAGTACCGTTAGGTTCCTTTTTTTCTGTTCTTTCGTAAATACTGTATAGGCACTAGGAGGAAGTAGAGTTTCATAGATAAATGTACATTTGTCAACACTAAGTGATTTAAAAATGATACAAATTTTTATGATGCTGAAATGTATTGAAAATATACGAAATAATGTATGGGTTAATAATGATGATTATATATGCTGCCAATTTGGTTAATGAACTGATAATCATGTGTGGACCTGACCTGCCATTGTGAAAAGAGGAGAATCCAAACTAGTAAGATTTTTCTATATTTTGATTTAGATGTACAGTACATACAGTCCCCCCCAAAAAGTATTACCCATGGGGTCGATGTTATTCAAGGTTTTCTGAGCAATGTTATTCAACCTGTTTCTGAACAGTTGGTAGTTCTACATCCATGACCCTTGAGTATGAATGATTATACAGTATACCTTTTCAAATGATACATACATTAATATACCTTTATGGATTTCTTGTTATATTGAAGTATCTAGTATGCCATACAAGGATGACTGCCTACCTCCCCATCTTTAGCTGTTTCTGATGTGGTAACCAGGCATACCAACTTATGGTGATGCACTGTGGTTCATATCAAAGCATTTTGTCTCGCATTTCGAATTGTAATGCCGGAAAATGTAACGATACTTTTGGGGGAGGACTGTACACCCACCAAAAAAAGTCTTGTCAGTCATCTCTCCTATCCTTGAACCCTGTGAATCTTGTCTCTGTGAATCCAAAACAACACACACAATGAAAACTACAGTATGTGTATTATTTCTGAGGGAATATACAAGGGTTCCTTTTGTAAAACATTAATAGATAGGAGTGTGTCTGACTTTAGAATTAAGTACTATGGGGAATCTTAATTCCTTCAGTCAATTTATACTCGGTTTCAGACAAGAAAATTAAAATTCATTGCAGATATTTGCTTTGTTGTTTTGAAAAGTGGAGTAAAAAACTGCAGAACACGTGTGCTAATACAACAGCTAGAGAGAACAAATAATAGAACATGAGGAGAGTGATAATCTCTTAACTGTGCCCACTGTGTACCAGTACTGTAGTGGAGTGCAGCTTACAAGAATGAGAAAACTATTCTTCCCAAGGAACACTGTCAATATTGCCACATTTACTTGTGCTGTTATTAAGCCCTCACATTCCTGCACCTCTTATGTGGTAAATTGATGTGTTATGTAGTTATAGAGATGAGGAAAGCAAAGCATTCCTCATTGTCAAGTGTTAAAGTTTACCAAAGATTAGGGTATTTTATTTGTAAACCAATTTTATTTTGGACCTATTGTTTTTTTTGCTTTACAGTTTAGATCTGTTTTATGCATTAGTTTTTATATATTACATTTTATTTACTTACATGTACTTATCATAGTATTTATGTGTTTCTTAGCAATGTTCAGAGTTTATGAAGAAAAAGTTAGGCTATATTTGTAACTGCAATTTTGCCCGTACATGTATTTCAAGAAGAGGATCTTGCAGTATGTTTGACTTGGTTCAATGTAAGACTCTGTTTGAGTCATTTATGCTGCCTACTCATAAAAAACAAAAACATAATTGAAGTCTGTTTTTGATCATAGCAATTTAATTTTGCTTTTGTCCATTATACATTGCTTTTAAAGCCAATGTCATATGATTGTAGCCTTGTTCATAACCCTGAAGATATTAGTTTATATTATGTGAAAGGAATGAATAATGGGGGGTTTTAATATTGAAGTGACTGACTTATGTGATGGCAGGGCTGGTTTAACTTGCCCCTGGTACATAATGTTGATTTATCAGATAATCACTAAACATATCTGTACTTACTTTGTCACTCAGAGTTGCTGTACAATCATTTATCATGTTTGTTTAATGTTTTAGAATATTTAAGCTACAGATCACTAGCCTCTTCAAATCACTTTGGGCCTTCTACCTAGCATTATGAAAACCCAGTTATTATTAATGTAAAATATTTGTTTGATGCATATACTGTATGATCTCACAACCACAATTACCTCGATCCTGGCATGACGTGTAGGGAGGTCGGCTTTGAGAGGAACAACTTATTTATTTCAGCAGTATTGTCACCCATCCATACTCAAATGCATCATGGTAAATGAATACCCATTTTTATTGGCATATAAAGCTCATGTTTACTGGCATCTAAGACAATAACTGTGATAATATACTCAAAGTTTAAAATCTCATGTTTTTTATCAGCAAGTTGTAGGAGTATTCTACACATCATGTACCAGATATGGTTATCTGTCCTTTCATATACATACCCATACACTGTGTATATATACATACAGTATATTTGGTCATATAAAAGACATCATCTACTGTCAAACCAAAAATGTAGTTTTGTATATTGTATATCATACAAGTTTATTAATTTGCCAGTCATCAGAAGACTTCAGAAAATTTAAGCAAGTTGCTTAAACAGAAGTATAAAAAAAAATCATAGTAAATTAGATGAATAGTATGTCCTTTAGGTAGCAAAAACAATAGAAATCTAATAAATACATGTATGAGAAAATAAAATGTTTTATGTAAAGATTATGAAAACCGGAGTTCAAATTAAGTATAACTGAAAAATAACAGAGTATATTTATAAACTCCTGATAGAAAGTGTAGATTTTTCATGTACTGTACTAGACAAGATACCACAGTCAGTCATCTGTAATTGAAATGTATTAATATATGTATGCAAGGTTTATGAGTGGCAGCTGGGGAGAAATGAAAGATTGTAGTAATGTACTGTAATGAAATTAAGATATATGTCCAGGTGTAAATATATGTATATAATATTAATAGATTGATATAAAAAAACAGTACTTAGTTATATTTAGTGACACATTTCTGTTAATCGTTTTCTTTATACTGTATAGGATTGTATGTCAAGAAAAAATATTTTGATAAGGAATTAATCCACTTCTTTTTGTGTGCTTATTCCAGTTTTTGCATTACAGGTGGTGATATTTTGTCATACATTCCATGCAGTAGTCACAGGTCACACTAACATGAAAGTATCACCAGTGTATTGTGTTATCAGGTGCTGTCTTAGAGCAGATATACAGTGGGTATATGTTTTTCAAGAGTACTTTCAAGGTACATAAATGATATTTGAAAACTTTGAAACCCTCCTAATTGTTTTACAATTTGCAGAAACTCAAACATGTATCCACAGAAACATTAGTTAAAAGCCTTATTACACATAAAAACTTAGTAACATATATGTAGGTAAGTTGATTAAGATTTGATTATTTCTATACTTATTTTATATTTTTGTGATGTAAAATAATGGATGTAATGTAGGTCTTTGTATAGAAGAAGTTTTAATAATTAAATTTTGGCTATTAAAAGTATTAACAAAACTATCTTTTCTATTTCAATTTATTATGTTTTATTTTAAATGTTACTTCATATTCCATTAATGAAAACAATTCTCTTTCTTAGTCATCACCATTTTCTGGCCATTTTCCATGCATGCAAGGGTTAGCAATGATACCTGTGAGCAGCTTTCCATGCTGCGTGGTGGTCAATTGCAGCCTCTTGTCAGGTTTTTATCATTGATGTCATTTTACAATCTTTCCCTTTGTCATTCTTGGCCTACCCCCTGTCTTTCCTCTCCTCCACAATTAAACTCCTGCATCTCTTGACCTAATTAATTATTGTTCTCTCCATATTACTGAATCATCAGTTCTCAATACCCAACTGCCCTCTTATCTCTGAACAGGATTTCCCATTTCTTAATATCGAGTTACACATCCACCCTGACCATTGTCATTTCATCTCGCTGAAGTCTAAGTATGTCATCCTTCTTAACTGCTGTACAACATCACACTTCTCACACAAGTTAGATAGAAACTTTTCTTTCAAGGGAAGAGAAGCTCCTCTCACCACCATTGAAGGCAACAGCTCCCTAAAGTTATTCTAGCTACTTCTGACTCTTGCAACAGAGATAGTTTAGAAAATTGCCATCAAGTAATCATGGCTAACCCATACATGGGTGGAAAATGGCTATAAAATGATGGTGGTGGTGATAAGGATACATAAAAAATACTGAAAATTTAAATATAAATTTGTAAAATTTTATTAAATACAGTTACATTAAGTTCTAGATACAGCAATGTGTGTCACATTGTTTCTTTGTTAAGGAAATTGCATTAAAATACCTTTAAGTTCTCTCTATTGCAGAATTGTTTTAGTAATAATAGAACCAAGAAAATGTAATGAAGGTACACACACAAGTTAACCTCACTGGCAACACTTTAGGCATTAGGCTGGCTGAAAGGCAGAGTGGGGGAGGCATCAGCCAGTCAGTGCAATGTTCCAAGAACTGTAAAGGTTTAATTTAATGATGCATATCTGTTAAAAACAATCCTAAATATCATGCAAAGGATTCCTTATTCTTCATAAACAATGAATCACTTCACCTTGGGACTGAATATGATTATTTCATTTTGCTTCCATTTGCATAGACTTTGTCTAAATTCTTTTGGCAAGTTGATATGTTGTTTATAAGTAAAGAAATAACCAATACTGTGTAGTTTTTGTAAAAAAAAAATAATAATTTTACTTAATTGTTGTATACAACTAAACTGAAACAATTATATAAAGGTTGCCCCTCGTGTTTGAGGATGGCCAGCCCTAGGGCCACCCAAGTGTGAATTTGTTTAAGGTGTAGAAGCCATCGTCAACACAACAACCACACCCTTAGTTAATGAGTTGCCTGACCCAGTGTCAAGAATAATCCGAGAAGACCGGACAACTCGCCAACTGCACTGGCTAACCATTACCCAAGAATACGATCCGCAAATCGATTAACATCCACGTTCCCAATTACTGCTGGGTAGACAGAGTCAAATGAAGTAAAGAAACTTGCCTATAATTTCAACCTGCCCGGGAATCAAACCCGGGTTCACTCGAGGCAAGCATGCTGACCATTACACAACAGGTCGCCATACTGAAACAATTACTACAGTATTATCTTGGGAACCTCTATGTAGAAATGCTTTAAATTTTCACAGAGGATTTCTTACACATAGTACCGTATTTCCAATCCAAGTTTGGTTAAAACTTTTCACCAAATGTTGTGATTATTACATTCATAGCTCTTGGGAAAGTATGCATTCCTATGTGTGTGGGACAATAGGGTTGATATGAAGTTTGTACAATGTGGGTTAACAGTAAAGTAAACTGTACAGTATACAAAGAATAGTTATATACAGTACAGTACAACATAAAAATATGTGGAACACGGAAGACCTGGCCATTGCTACATTTTTAATTTTTTGGATTTCTGAGAATAGGAAGCCTTCCTCCAACGCGCATTTTTCCAGCACAAATTCATGTTTACCTATACGCACAAAAATAAATGCGACCAATTAATTACCAAACGCGGAAAATTGGAGTATGCGTGGTGCTGTGTGCGAGCTGTCGTACTGTCTATAAGATCCGCAGCTCTTCTGTGCCTTCCTATTAAATTTAGTTTCAGTTTAGGTAAATCTTTTCATTTCGTGTACAGTACTGTACAGTATATATTTTTATATATCATATGTGAATGTCTTTGTTTGATTTTACGGGTAGTATTATACATTTTTAGCTCATATGCAATACAGTACTGTATAGGGAGAGCATTACAATTATGGGTACAGTACTGCATATAAAAACATCTACAAAATTTGATAGTTTGTGCAGCGGTTTTCCCTTATCCCCATTAACCTCATAGGATGTTAAGCTTGTCCAACGTGGATTTCCCTAACATGCCATTTTCGAGAAATCTAACCCCTGGGTTGAAGGCGGGTTTACTGTATACTGAAATTCTTTTTTTTTTAAATCTGATTGATTGTGCAGCAAGTAAGATATTGTAAGCAAATTCCTAAAGGGCTAAGATGACTTCTCAAATTGAGTGTTGACAGAGCTTTAACAAAAGCAGGAACTGTGGGTGGGAAACAGGTGCATAAAGTACTCCTCATTTTGCCTTTTAGAGGGAAGTACTTGGATTTCCAATGCTGTATTTTTTGGTTGTACTGTACAGTATGTACTGTATCAAGGTTGACAACATTATAAGTAAAGAAAAAGATTAAACCTTTTACAGATTTGACAAAAATGTAATTAAACTAAATAAATTAACTTTCTTCATAATACACTACAATAAAGTTATCTTCTTAGTGATAAGGTTTAAATGAGGCTTCGACAAAGTAGGTTTAATGATATGCAACTGAAATACTGTACAGTACAGGCAGTCCACAAGTTATGAATGGGATCCCGATATATTTTATCACAATAATCTGTAACTAAAATCCCATATTTTACATCACTTTATTTACATTATACAGTATTACCCCGCTTTACACAGTTTCTCATTTACGTGGTACCTTGCCAGAACCGGACTTTCACTTTACGCGGTGCATCTACTCATATACGAGGTGAAGTATAATTTTTTTTTATTTTAGCTCATAAAATTCATACAAATTACCCGGCCAGAATATAATTTACATTGCTGGAATTCTTACAATATGATGATCATTTTGAATATAAACATCATGGATTTTGCATTAGACATACAAATTTTAGATCTAATGTAATAATTTGGTTTACACAAAGCAAATATTTTATCGTTTGTGCAAAATATATGAAGTTTACATTCAAAATATTCCCTGACCTGCAAGGAATCTAGAAATGTCAATTATATTATCCTAACTTTAGTCTGAGGTATTATTTATTACTAAAAATGTAAATATACTATTTTCTCCCAATCTCTTCTCTGGTAGGGAGGGAAGGTGGGGGGTGGGGGGGTAGGAAGGGAGGGAGGGCAGAGGTGGGGTATTTTGATTGACAGATAGTGTCCTTGAAGAATATTTCTTTGTTTATTTACTGAAGATATTTGTTTTGGCTCATAAAATTCATACAAATTACCCGGCCAGAATATAATTTACATTGCTGTAATTCTTACAATATGATGATCATTTTGAATATAAACATCATGGATTTTGCATAAGACATACAAATTTTAGATCTAATGTAATAATTTGGTTTACACAAAGCTAATATTTTATCTTTTGGGCAAAATATATGAAGTTTACATTCAAAATATTCCCTGACCTGCAAGGGATCCAGAAATGTCAATTATATTATCCTAACTTAGTCTGAGGTATTATTTATTACTATACTTCTACGTTAAAATCTAGTGTTTTCACCCAAACATTTCTCAGAGAGGTAGGAGCTAGTGAGCTGGGAAGAGGGGGGTGGGGGGGATTTGAGTCCATTATTTGAATGGACATTAACCTGGCGACTGTATTTCTCTTAAATATTAATTGTGTGAGCATACCATCATAAAATTTAGATGTTATTTTTACTACAACATAGGTATTGTGTCGGAAAAAGTGGAGTTTGGCCAGTCTCTATTGGAATTAATCCCATATGTTCTGTTGTTCACTTTACACGGTTTTCACTTTCCGCGGTACCCTGTGGGTTCAATTGACAGCGTAAATCAAGGTACTACTGTATACTTATATGTTAGATAAGGGATATTAATATTGTTTTGTATGGGCAGGATTGTGCTTTAACCTATGGAATTAACAATATTCCGACTTACAAACAGGGTCCAGGAATTTAACCCATTTATAACTTAGGAAATGGCTGTACAGTACAGTATATTGAAAATAATTTGCAAATTCCAGAATTACCTAAGTTTCCAAATTTTTCCAGAGACTATGAAATTCCTCTGCAAATCTATTTACTAATTGTGGGTCATTGGTAATAACGACATTTTCATAATTATTTGTAACTGCTGCCCAAGTCCAGTTAAATGAGCCAGTCATTAGCACACCCTCAAAATTCTCATTATGGTGGTCATTTTTTGGTACTGATATCATAGATTTGATAAAGTTTGAGAATTCATAAAAGAATCTTGATATTTCAATCCTTTTCCACAAATCTGAAACCCTAGAATGCACAGTGGATTTGGTATCACTCTTATGATTAATCCAATCTTTACCTTGAACTTCATGCTGTTTGCTATAAATTCTGTCCACTTGTACAAACTTACCATCATAATGAGGTTTCTGGAGGTGTTCTGGGGCATCCACTATGGCAAATTTATGGTGCATTAGTAGGGCAGGGTTGCTGAATCGGAACATTATATTGTGCTTGAGAAGGATACTGGCAGAACTTGTACTATACTCTTCCATTGTCCCTCCTAAGAGCACACGAACTCTTACACCACGAAGCTGAGGGAGAGAATGTGTTAAAACTTCAACAGTGCAGAGAAATAATGCTCAGAGACAAATTATATCCAAGATAAAGAGCTCAATAAGTCCCCATCTTTCTACAAGTTGAGTAAAAAAACTGGAATCTTTTTTTCTTTTCATTTTACAGCCATCAGAATGCATCCCCCGAGATTAGCCCACCCGGGCACGTCACTGACCTACATATCATAAATGTAATAATTATTCATCGTAAGTAAAATTTATAATAAAAAGTAAAATAAAATAATAATAACAATACAGGTAATAATAATAACACTGAAATAATAATAATAATAAAGAACGATAAAAAAAAAAAAAAAAAAAAAAAATCAAAGTGAGAAATGCTATATGTATGTTGTTGTTAAGTAAGATAAACAAAATTGAGACCCTGCAATTGTGTGTAAATGGGGCAGAAAGTCAGATCAGCAACCTGGGACTTGGTCACAATTTTTGTGATGCCATATGGCAGCAGGGTCTACCATTATACAACACATTATGCTTCCAATATCTTCCCAGGCGGTAGTACCTCCCTGTTTGGTAGCTGCCTACTACCTTAAATATGAATGTGCTTAAATCAGACTGTTCAATTTACTTATTCATTTACTGACATTAAATGATAAGGAAACTTTATGGGACTACCTGTATCAACAATATATCCTTAAAGTGACTTGATGGCTTGAAGAGTTGACTTGAATCAACCACATTTAAATACTGTATGGACTTCAATATATAATATGATAATCACAGGTGAATCATGTCTGCAAGTTCAAATTTCACATAATAAAACAAATACAGTGTACTGTACAGGCATCCCTGCGTTACAGAATCCCTGGTTACGGAATTTCACCCTTCCACCATTTTTTAATTACGGCCAAAAATTCAGGGTACAGAAAAAATCTAGCCGTTACGGAATTTTCATTAATTTTTAAAATTAAATAGAAAATTACGATTTTTTTACCCACATTTTTCCCAAAATTGTAAACAAGTATTTTGTGTGGATCCTCAGAGGTACCCGTAGTCACAAGGCAGTTGGAAGGCCACTCACCCTGCCAGTCGCCAGCAACCACCACAACAATGGCGCTGCTCAATTAGAATTCTTTCCCCAGTTAGTGTTATGTGTGTGTGTGTGTGTGTTCAGGACTGTATTCACCCTTACGGAATTATGGTTATTTGATCAAGATTTTCAAAAGAAAAAAATTGCAATATAGAACAAATAATTTCACCATAATTATAAAATTCATTTTGTGTGGATTCTGGCTCAGCTCTCCAACTAGTAGCAGCCACAACAACAATGGCACTGCTCAGTTTGAATTCTTTCCCCAGTTTGTGTTCAGTTATGTGTCTGTGTTACTGTATACCCTTATTCAAGATGAGTGGAAAAAGAACATTAAGTTCAAGTGAAAGCAGTGGTGATAAAAGATTCCATAAAGGAATTGTGTTGGACTATAAACTTGATGTTTTAATGAGGTAACCCCCAGTAACTCCAATCACACCACCTCACCTCACCACTTGCAGCAGCACTCAACATCATTTCTGGTAAGTAAAATTTTAGTGTTTTGTTCATTTATTATCATGTTACATCATGAATGACTCATTGTATGTGGTTAAAACTGTCTAATTTCATAAATATATGTGCTTGTGTTACGTTTTTGGGCCTCAAAATATTTCCATAGGAATGCATTTCAACTTATATAATGGAAGTCAATGGGAAAAATGGTTTCGTTACGGAATTTTGCGTTGCGGAAAGATTTTCAGGAACGGAACCCTTCCATAACCCAGGGGATGCCTGTATATAAATGAAAATGATAATACCCTATAAACAGAGTGGACCAAGCAGATTATTACCAAACATCATCATCACACTCACTCCTTCCATCACACATTTTTCCCATACAGTACCTGTACAGTACAGTATACTGTACCGGTATTGTACTATCTGTTCACTGTGTTGTCCTACTTCATCACCAATTTCTTATTCCACCATTTTAACTCAATCAACATTTTTATTTGTGTAACTTACACTGTGATGGTCACTAACCTTTGCTCTTACAATGGCAGAAACTAAATCCTTGCATGTCAGAATGTAGAGACACACTTCTAAAGATCTCTTGGCTGAGTCCAATACATTGATCATATAGATTAGTGATGTACTCCTCCTTAGCCTTGTTGATTGTTTGAACAGTTCCTGATTGTCTAGTCTTGCTGTAGCTCGAATCCTAACGACAGGATCATAATCACTGGATCGGAAATTTCTTAACTGATCATTATGTAACGAGACTGCTCCTTTCTGTTGGCCAGTGATGTTCCCAGTCTGAACGTCATCTCCCTCTAAATTCTTATACCCATCCTTATTATTGTACTGACCATCAAAGGTAGTACTTGATACAATACCTTTGTCAGGAAAAAATATTACCCTGCTAAAAGGTTTTGTATTTCCAGTCATCATATATAAATTACCATCAACAATTTTTTTACAGTTCTTTAAATCTATCGCATAATTATAAATATGCTTAAGCCACCTGAAGATCAGTTCACTACCGACCACAATAGAGAGTCCTAATACAGGATATTTAAAGGAAGACATTTCATTAATAGGGATCAGTAGAAAGCACTGAAACTCTTCAAGGGTAATGATGATACAACACTAGGAGTGTTCAATAAGCTCTCCTTGTACTTGGTGCTGGCAAGCTAAACACTGTCCATAACTTCATTATTACAGTATAAGGCTGGAACTAGTAGTCTTGTTCTATAAGGCACTCCTCTACAGCTTGGGAGAGGTTGGGATTCTCCAGTGCTGCGGCCACTCGTTCTTTATCATTAATTTGTTTATTCACTGTAAAGACAGAAAGTAGACAAAATTAGTGAGCAATCATTAAGAAGACATGCTAACAAACAGAACATTAGCAGGGGGGAGGTCACTAACCACCCTCTTGCCTTAGTAAAACCAGATATACTGTAGGTATATATTTTTTTTAACACAAGCATACATCCTAACCACAAGCCACTCTGGTTACATTAGGTAAGCCTGTCCCTCACCCCTCTGTCCCTATAGTTCATATTTCCCTTCATACATGTCAAAGCTGGACCAGCATGCCAGAGGCTAAACTCTCTCCTAACTCCCGTGGCTCCCTGAGCTGTGATTGGTTATTGACAACAGAAAATGTGAAACTCATCACTAATAAATACTGTTCAGCTTTTGGGACACTTCACTTCCTAATCCCTCCACTAGGGGTTTTGCCACCTGGACCACTGTTGGGGACTTTACCCCTGCATACCTCACCAAAATCCTGAAGAGGTAAGTTAGGGGCCACTCAAAAATTATGTAATGCTTTTTTCCACCCAAATTTATACTCCTCACCCCCCTGTAACACCATGCCAAACCCTCCTAAAATATTACGTAACACAACCCTGAACACCCCCCCCCCCTTCCCGAAATCACAACACTGCTCCAGATCACACCAATCAGAACTGTCAAGACTCTGGATGACTTAACAGCTGCTTTACATACAAAGGGTTTTCAATTATTACGCAGCTCAGTTTATTTGTGACTACTGTCTAGAAATTCCTCAACGCGGGAGGGAAAACGACATGTGAAAACAGTTCCTGTTAAACTAATGAGGTTTGAAAATAGTGTACATTCTAGACATCCAGATACCCTATTTGCAAGAACATCTATCTCTTATCTGGAAGAAATTGCTTCTCTACTTGGACCACATGAAGTCACATTCCATTCCCAAGATGACAAGGCAAGAGTTCCAATAGGCATTACTGCTGCAAACAAACAGGCTCCTCTGATAATGTATATGGAATACTGTATAAAGTCACTCTTAGTGACCATGATTTTGTTGTTGCCCCTAAACACAAACTAATATCATCAGTAATAGCTGGTATTTCAATAAAGGAAAACTGTATTGGAGAACAAGGGGTCACCTATTCTGGTCCAACACATATAGCCATACAAAGTGCTAAGCACACATCTTCAATTGCAATGGAACATCTGAGACATATGAAGATATGAGAGATGCCAAAGCCAGTCATGATTGTAACAGTAGATGATGGTCCTGATGAAAACCCTAGGTCTGAAAAAAAACATCAAGAATGCTGTTGATTACTTTTTCTTATATGATCTAGATGCTCTCTTCATTGCAACAAATGCACCAGGTCGAAGTGCATTTAACAGAGTTGAATGATGTATGGCCCCACTTAGTCATGATCTAGCTGGAGCCATCTTACCTCAGGATCATTTTGGAAGCCATCTAAATTCTAATGGAGAAACTGTGGATGAAGAATTGGAAGCAAAATTTTGCCCATGCAGGGAAAACTCTCGCAGACATTTGGTCAGCTACTGTTATTGATGGCTCCCCAACAGTTGCTGAATATGTTGATCCACAGGAAGGAAATGAGTCAGAAAAACTTGTAAAAGAGTCCTTCCTGGTATGCAAAACATGTGCAAGAGTCAATATTTTCTACAGGTCATCAAATACTAAGATACAGCTTGCTGTAATGTACCAGGAAGTTCTTACTTTTCAGTTATCACCAACAGATTCTTGCCATCACAGCTTCCCCTTGTACAGACAGCAGATGGCTTATTATGTTGTTTTGATGATTTGAGTGCCAAATATCCACAGCTATTTGTCCATCTAGCACTGGACAAATTTGTGCTATCAGCTTGGGCAGTTAAACACTTTCCAAAAGGCCTACCATATGATTTGGCATGTTCTAGTCTGAAGAATGAGCTACAGAAGCACATCTGTGGAACGTGGCAAATACTTTGCCTCCGTTAAGTCCATGACTTCACCTTTTAAGAAACACTGCTGCGACCTCAAAGACTAGCTGTCAAGAGACAAAGGGAATTCATGTGTGTTGTCAAGTACCTAGAAAAAGAAGTGTATGAGTGGCACATGGAGAAAGAATCGGCTACTGAGGGACTTGAAATGCCAACTGAGATCAGGGCTAATAAAGGAACACCAATCATGACTGTACAAAGTAGAGAACTAGTGTGGCAGGAAGACTTAGATCTGGGACAACACACATGAACCACCCATGGACACTAAAATATTTTGAATGAAATTTTCAGTTAACAAACAACCTTCTGAAACTAATTGTGTTCATTAACTGAGGGACCACTGTACAGTATAGTCTAGGTTTACGCGGATTTCTTATACGCAGTTGGTCATTTACGCGGCACCTGTCCAGACGCGCCAATTATTACTTAAGCAGTACATTCCAGCATTTATGCGGGAAGCGGCGCGGACAAGGTGCGCGCTAGGTTGCTCTGGCGTCACCGCTGACGTCAGATGACGTTTCGGACTGTGATTGGGCCACGTATCCTTACCACCCACGCAACCCCTCCGCTGAGCGCTGTGATTGGTCTATTTAACCTTGCTTGCCCAGTCAACAAAACATTTCCGAGTTCTTCACCCGCCACCCACCACAGCCAGCCCAAGTCAGTGATAGTGAGGATATGGACTTTGAGGGGTTTGACAAAGAGGCCCTGCTTGCCTCTGTGGTGGATAGTAATACAGGTGATACAAGTGATTCACCTGAGGGCCACTAATCTGCCCTCTGCCTCGGACCCAGCCACCCATCCCCGTGTGCCCAGCCATCTCTTCTACTAACGTAAGTGTTAAAAAAAACAAATATTATTGATATTTCTCTTATATATTAATTGTTTGTGCATACCATCATAAAATTAAGATGTTATTTTTACTACAACGTATGTATTGTCGGAAAAAGGGTAGTCTGGGGGTCGGCCCAGTCTCTATTTCAATTAATCCCATATGTTCTGTTATTTCGTTTACGCGTTTCTCGTTTTACGCGGACCTCCATGGGTTTAATTGACCGCGTAAACCGAGAATATATATATATATATATATATATATATATATATATATATATATATATATATATATATATATATATATATATATATATATATATATATATATATATATATATATATATATATATATTTATTTATTTATTTATTTATATAAACCACAAGGAAAGAAGAAAACACGAAGTTCCCAAGCGCTTTCGTGTAATTCACATCTTCAAGGGTGAGTACAGACTAGAGAGAGTAATACAAATCAAGGTGTATATATACAGAGGAGGGTGAGACCAGGTCCACAATGGTCAGGTATTAGGTAATGACCCTACTAATCTTTAAATAGCACACAACGGTTGGTGGTCAGGTCAGATGGTCAAGTGACCCGGCCTTCTCACCTGATCACAAATCTTCTTATATATATATATATATATATATATATATATATATATATATATATATATATATATATATATATATATATACAGTTAACCCTCACTTTACGCGGTCCCGCATTCCGCGTTTCCACGTTAACGCGGTGCCTTGCCAGAACCTCACGTGCTCACATTACGCGGTACGTGAACCCCATTACGCGGAGAGTGTCCGGCGCGACGCTATTTTTAGATTCGCCACCCGCCCGCCTGCCTGCCTGCCTCTCCCTCCTCCTCCCTCCGCTTGGGCAAGCGGCGCGGTAAGGTTGCGCAGTGTGTGTCTTTGTTGCGTTATCACTGACGTCATATGACGTATCGGACTGTGATTGGCCATGCATCCCTACCCCCCTCTGCTGCTAGCTGTAATTGGCTTAAAGTATTATGACGTGACTACCCCGGGGAGGGAGGGAGGGAGGAGAGACGACGCTTGACCTAGCCGCGGCAGTTTCATCCCTCAAGGCCACCCGGGTTAACGCGCATCCATTGTTCCGTAAAATGGCTTCCGCCGGACCACCACCGCCCCCAGAGAGAGACCTTTCCTCACCTGGACCCAGCGGCACTAAACCAAAGAAGACACGACGTTCATTAAGCTACGAGGTGAAGTACCAAATTGTTCAAGATTTGGAGAAAGGAAGACGCCAAGTTGATCTCGCGCGCCAGCATGGCGTCAACGAATCTACGATTCGTACAATCAAGAAGGATGCAGCCAAGATCAAAGACCACATGAAAATCACAAAGTCTGCAGGTGCTTCATCTATCAGGTATTGCCAGAACAGGGTGCTGGCAAAAGTGGAAACTTTGCTGGTGAGTTATTTGGTGCGTCAGGCGCGACGCAACATGGCGGTGGACACGCGCTCAGTGCAGGAGTACGCACGTGAGCTATACGCAGCAGTGACACGTAAACTGGGAATTGCAGAGCCCAAACCCTTCAATGCTTCCTCTGGTTGGCTGCATAGGTTTAAGAAGAGGAACAAGGTCAGCAACATCAACATTGGTGGTGAGGAAGCGAGTGCTGACCGTGCGGCGGCTAGAGATTTTCCTCCGTTTTTACGTGAGATTATGGAGGAAGGACAGTACAGTGACGACCAGGTGTTTAACATGGACGAATCTGGTCTTTTCTGGAAAAAGTTACCTTCCAAGACCTTCGTTGTCCAGTCTGCGAGCAAGGTAAGGGGCCGGAAGATGCAGAAGGAACGCATCACCGTCCTGTTTACCACCAATGCCTCCGGTACCTGTAAACCAAAGTTATCGGTGATTCACAAAGCCCGCAAGCCGCACGCCTACAAGAATATGGACATGAACAAGCTTAATGTCCACTGGCTAACCGCACGTAAGGCGTGGATGTCCTCTTCTCTGTCCCTCTTCTGGTTTGACAACTGTTTTGTTCCTGACGTGCAGAAATTCTGCGAGCAACAGAATGTTTCATTCAATATTTTGTTGCTCCTTGACAACGCACCAGGACACTCGCCCCTACTTATGGATCGTCACCCCAACGTAAAAGTGGTCTTCCTTCCTCCCAACACTACGTCATTAATCCAGCCTATGGACCAGGAGTTGATCTGCAATGTGAAAGCTGCGTACTCTGCAAAGAAGTTCAAGCTCCTGAACGACTCTACCAACACCAAGGATGAGTTGCGTAAGCTGGGTGACACCGACAGCGAGAGTAAAAGCGACGAGGACAAGGAACAAGAGGCGGCGACTCAAGAACTTCTCGTCAAACAATTTTGGAAGAAGTTTAACGTTAAACAAGCTGTAGACTTCTTGGTGGAGGCATGGGATCTGCTGACTATTGCTACGATTCGTCACGCATGGAGACATGTGTTGCATGGCATACCAGGTGAGAGGAGGAGTGAACCTGTGACTGGTCAGGTTCAGACTGTTGCAGTAGCAGTGGACCTTGCCAGAGAAGCTGCGCTCAGTATTACAGCTGAAGGCTTCTCCGAGACCACCAACGAAGACATCATGGAGGTGATCAGAGATCCTGAAGTGACTGCCGACGAGATGTTGGAAGAAGAACCCGCCAGTGAAGAGGAGGAAGAAGGTGCGTCATTCTCCGAAGAACCTAGTTTAAGTCATAGTGATATTAAGTGTCTCATAGAGTTTACAGAAAAAATTAAGTCCATCGTTTCCCCCGCGACAATGACGATGAACGCCATGACGTCTTCCATACCCGACTGGTGCAGGCTATGGAGCCGTACATCAAGGTGTATCACGACAACATCAACACCAGCCGTCAGAAAAGCATAACCGAGTTCTTCGCCCGCAACCCACCACAGCCAGTCCAAGCCAGTGATAGTGAGAGTGAAGTTGATTTTGAGGGATTTGTCAGGGAAGCCATGACAACTGTAAGTGACAGTGATATTGATTCACCTAGTAATGGTGATTCACCTAGTAATGGTGATTCACCTGAGGGGCAGTAATCTGCCCTCTGCCTCGGAACCAGCCTCCATCCCCGTATGCCGACCCATCTCTTCTACTACCGTAAGTGTTCCGCAAAAATTTTCGTTTTTTAACCTATTCTTTATTTTTCCTATGTTAACCTTTATCTTTCCTAACCTAACCTCTTCTATATTACTTGTTTTTCATGCCACCATAAAGTTAAGATAGAATTTTTACTACAACATAGTTATTTGTCGTCAAAAAGTGGAGTTTGGGGGTCGGGCTGGGTTCTATTGGAATTAATCCCAAATGTTCTGTTGTTCACTTAACGCGGATTTCACTTAGCGCGGGACCCTCTGGGTTCTATTGACCGCGTTAAGTGGGGTACAACTGTATATATATTACATAAATTATATTTGCTTTCATTGTTAAAGTTGCATTACTTGCTTTCACCTTTATTTGAAAAAAAATAGAATATGCATGCATTTGACAAGGTATAGAAAGAATTCTGTACATATATTTTCTTTGTAATTCTTAGTACTAAAATTTTAGTATTAAAGACTTTCAAAGATTACATCTGTGTTATTTAGGCTTTTATTTTATTTTTTACTGTTACATAACATTTCATCTGACACCCCCACCACCCTGTAACATCTGTCTTGATACCTCCCCCACCCCCTTCTGCATCAGGTAATTTTTTAATGGTCCCTTACACTTTATTTTCAATATACGTCAGATAGTTCAGCACAACATATAAAGCATAAAATATCAAATGATTATCAAGGAAACATGTTTATTACATTATCATCCCCCATAATTTTCAGATATAGAACACAAAATTCCTAAAAAGAAATAAACTGTGTACCCCATCTATGTAAAAAGCTTTTAACCAGACAGGCAAGCAAATGTAAGGACATATGGAATAAGCAAATGTCCATTGGTCCCTTTTTATGGCAAAGGAAACAAACAAGTGACCTGTAAGAGACAGGTAATTGCCAACCACCACCTTGAACAGAACCAACCAATGTCTAGAAAAGCAATTTTGACAGCTGGAGCATTTTCCTTCTGGACAAAGTTTTTCTGGAAGCAATGACACACCGCAGTTCACTAATCATCTCAGACCACAAAGGAATTCAGGTCAGAAGTCATCTGACTATCGTGCCCACCCATCTGTAACCCTTACTGCCTTCTGATTTAGAACTTGTCATGTGTTCATCCCTTTGGTCATCACAAGGAAATTCTTACTGTACCTCAAACCCAATCATTTGTTTGTTTATGAATTTTAGAGCAGTATGGTAAATATAAAACAAACAATAATTTTGTATATTTTTATATACATTTTCAAGTCAAGATATAAATGTATAACGTACTAAACAGAAGGTTCTGTCTTGCTAATTAATGAGCTTGTATCATGAGCTGTTTGCAGGGCATCTTGATCCTAAAAAATGTGACTGATACAGTATCTTAAAAGTTCCTCAAATCTAAATTTAATAAGGATGCAAAAGGAAAGTTTAAACTACAGGTTGACAACCCTTTATCCGAAATTCCAAAAACCGAAAAGCTCTGAAAACCGAAAGTTTTTTTGTGGAGCATTTTTTTTTTTTTTTATTAGCCCGCCCGGGCACAGGTCACTGACCCACATCGGGGCCTGGGGGGCGAAAATGTAATAGTAATAGTAATAATAATTATAATAATAATAATAATGATAATACAGTATTAATAATAATTATTCATAGTAAATAAAATTTTTAATAAAAAATACACAAAAATAAAATAAGAATGTTAACAATAATAATAATAACAATAATACTGTAATAATAAAATAATAATAATAATAAAGAAATACAAGAATGAAAAAAAGATCAAAAGTGAGAAACACGACCTAGACCTATTATTATTATTATTATTATTATTATTATTATTATTATTATTATAATTATAATTATTATTATATTTTAGCCCCCAGGCCCCAATGTGGGTCAGTGACCTGTGCCCGGGTGGGCTGATCCCTGTAAAAAAGAAAAAAAAAAAAAAAAAACCTAACCATTCTGAAAACCGAAAAATTCCAAAAACCGAAATACATCTGGTCCCAAGGATTTCGGATAAGGGATTGTCAACCTGTACAAGTATATAAGATCTTCATAACTAAATCATTTTAATATCTTTACTCCTCTACCTTTGTATGAGGTAGATCAAAGGCTACAGACACCAATTAAGAAAGGGGAGGAGATGATGGGAGTAACACAGGAAAAGTATAGAAAGTGACAGGAAATGGCAATGACAACAGGGAGTTATCTCGGCACAATACTCACCATCCAGTTCTGTATTATGAGTGCCAGGAGCTATACATATGTCAGCCTTGAATGGGTATGGTAAAGAACGACTCAATTTGACCCTCACACAAAGGCCAATCAGTGTGGCCAGAGAGCAGTGTGGAACAGTTGGAACAAATTCTATTTTGATTAAGAACTTGTCATTATTCAACCTTGTTACCTGAAACAAGGAATCCTAGTTAATGAACACATACTTTTATCAGCATTTTATAATTCAACATAATTACCTAAAATGAGAAAAATTGAATACAGTCCCATAATTGTTACTGTATATTTATGTCTTAAGAAATATCACACAATAGTTGTTTTAGATTTTTTAGATCTTCAGGTTTTCTCACTCTGGTGTACAGTACAGTAGGTGGAATCAAGATTAACAGACTCTCTCTTAGTTTTTGTTATTCATTTATGAATAAACATATCGTGAATATTAGTAATCTTTCTGTTAGCCAGATTATTATTACAGGTACTGTATTATTATTATTATTATTATTATTATTATTATTATTATTATTATTATTATATACAGTATATACTGGTATAATATTTTATTATTATTATTTTTTATTTTATTTTTTTATTTTTAGTTTTTAGTACTCCTAGAAATTCTGGAAAAAATATCTCAATTCCGGGAATGGGCACAATTTTTGAGGCTTGCATCAAGCGCATTTCCAAGAAATTTCTCCGTTTCGGGCATGAGAAAGAATTTCCGAGAGATTGCACCATGTTTTCAACATGGGGAAGTGTGTGGGTGGGAAGGCTCAGAGTGCTCACGAGCTATGATTGGCCACTACTGGCATGTGACTACATGGGAAGCCTATGATTGGCTGATGTAGCTCACAGTCTACCTCCTCAACTCTTGCATCATGACACTCTTAGTTCATTGTCTGCTGCCATTGTACAACTTGTTCGCTCGCTCACTGCTGTTTTCACATACAATCTGTTGTGCAAATCAGTACTGTACAGTCGGCCCTTAACATACGCGGGGGTTAGGTAACAGAGATACCTGTGAATGTTAAAAATCCACGTATTTTTGCTGCCCCCCCAAAAAAACACCCCTGGCCCCCCCATGTCCTTATTTACCGTATATACCTGTGTGTAGTTCGAGCTTTTAAGACCAAATTTTTTGGCAAAAAATTGGGGGTCGACCTCTAAACGGGTAATAGTTTCGTTAGGTTGAAAAATATTTACCAGTAACTACCAGTAAACAATGGAAACGACGCACCACCAGCTGTGAGTGTCGGTGCAGTTGCCAGGGCAGATCTCTTGCGTCATCATAGCAAGCCCAAAGTAGCCAAACGCATGGTATGGTATGCACAGGACGATGTAAAACATAAAGTTATATGTACAGTGAACCCTCGCTTTACGAGGTTTCACTTTACGCGATTCTACATTTACGCGGTACCCTGCCAGAACCGGAATTCCCACTTTACGCGGTGCATCTACTCATATACGCGGGTGAAGCATAATTTTTTTATTTAGCTCATAAAATTCATACAAATTATCCGGCCAGAATATAATTTACATTGCTGGAATTCTTACAATTTGATGATCATTTGACTATAAGCATCATAGATTTTGCATTAGACATACAAATTTTAGATCTAATGCAAGTATTTTGTTTACTCAGAGCAAATATGTTATCTTTTGTGCAAAATATATGAAGTGTATATTCAAAATATTCCTGGTCTTGCAAGGAATCCAGCAATGTCAATTATATTATCCTAACTTTAGTCTGAGGTATTATTTATTACTAAAAATGTAAATATACTGTTATAACCCAATCATTTCTCTGGTAGGGAGGGAAGGTGGGGGTGAGGGGTAGGGAGGGAGGGAGGGAGCAGGTGGGAAGAGGGGGGGAGGTGGGGTATTTTGATTGACAGATAGTATTTCGGTAAGTATATTTTGTTTATTTATTGAAGATATTTGTTTTAGCTCATAAAATTCATACAAATTACCAGGCCAGAATATAATTTATATTGCAGGAATTCTTATAATTGATGATCATTTTGAATATAAACATCATAGATTTTGCATTAGACATACAAATTTTAGATCTACTTTAAGTATTTTGTTTACTCTGAGTAAATATGTTATCTTTTGTGCAAAATATATGACATTTATATTCAAAATATTCCTGGTCTTACAAGGAATCCAGCAATGTCAATTATATTATCCTAACTTTAGTTTGAGGTATTATTTATTACTATACCTTAAAATCTAGTGGTTTTCCCCCAAACATTTCTCAGAGAGGGAAGAGCCAGCGAGTGTGAGAAGAGGGGGAGGGAGTTGAGTCCATTATTTGAATGGACATTAACTTGGCAACTGTGTTTCTCTATTCCTCTTAAGTATTAATTGTGTGCATGTACCATCATAAAATTAAGATGTTATTTTTACTAGAACATTGGTATTGTGTCGGAAAAAGTGGAGTTTGGGGGTCAGCCGGTCTCTATTTCATTTAATCCCATATGTTATGTTGTTCACTTTACGAGTTTCTCGCTTTACGCGGGCCTCCGTGGGTTCAATTGACCACGTAAAGTGAGGGTTCACTGTACTGCATTGGAAGTTTTGTTAACAAGTTACTCATCTTTTTCTCACCTTTTTTTAGCTATTCTAAGTATATAATCACTAGTCGCTTCTCTCATCATAACAATGTACAGTATAGTTCACCTTAATTCCCTCCTCTCGTATGACTTCAAGATCTTCAAGTGTTGCGTCCTTTTCTGGGTCTCTTACTGTGCGAAGTAAATCTGTTGACACAAATATTGCACATGATCAATTAAGTGTATGTATTGTATATAACCTGGACACTGAAACAGACACTCCACAAAGTTTATAACAAGATGTTTTTTGCCTCATTATCTTTTAGAAAATATCTTCATTTGTTATGTAATACATTAATAGAGATTATGTGCACCTGTACCAAGGAACATATCATTAGGGAGCAAATTATTATATTGACTTAAAATACAAAGTAATATTTCAGTGTCAACTCTACCATCTTACAAAGAATACTACTGATAATTCTTTTATATTGTTATTTCCTTACCATAAACAGTAGCTGCTACACTTGATAACTCTGCATCCTCGGACATAATGGTGTCACCTTTAACCGCACCTGTGAATACAGTAAAATAGTCCTATCTATCTACAGTATATATATATATTTATCTTTCCATTACGTTTAATCCTCACCCATGTATGTGTGGGGTAGAACATGTGATACAAAATGGTAAAACATTATAGGAATGTTAGAGGTGGCATCTTCATTCTCCACATTGACAGTAGCATTTACTTTATTTTTACTTTATCCTCTTTGCCACTGATTGGCCTATTAGTTGCTTCGGCAGTCAGTCATGTCTCTTTGCAAGTACGTACTGTACTGGACATGTACTGGCTCCAGAATGTATCTGTACCTGGGCCAGTATTGGTCAAGTCTGGTCTTGAAAGAGCTCACATTCAGTGCCATCACAACACTCACTAGCAGGTTATTCCAAGAGTTCACAACTTTTACTCCAAATTTTTTTTTGCCCAGATAATTTTCTGAACTAGAGTCTTCTACAACTTGAGGTTATGACCACTAGTGGGGCAGGCATCCGCTAATTCCAAGTATGAGCACTCGACTGAATAATGTATTCTGAGATGTTTACTGACGTTTATTAAGTCATTGCAATCGGGCTATCTAAGGGCAATGATCAGCACCTTTTATTCACCATGGATAATAGCCATAAAACATTAATGATGATGTGAAAGTACAATATTTAGAGTTTAATTTATTTATTTTAATTTTTTTTTTTTAATCACCCATGTTATTGAGCTTGATATTTTATCAGCTGTCTATTTATTGCAGAAAACATATTTGATAGGAGGGAACATGAATGTGTGAAGGTCACAATGATCTTCGGCATGATTCTGTTGATCAATAATTACTCACAATTTCATTTACGTCTCAGCAGAAATACCAAGACACCATATCTTTTTCACTTGAAATAAACAGAAACTTCATAAAAATCCATTGTATTTAATAGTGTACACGGAGTCAACCATCGTCACTGTTTTATAGCCGGGGTTAACAATCTGGATATAGGTACAATGATTATGGAAGTAACAGTTGATCACAGCCCACCTCAACGATTATCATCTGAATGAGTTAGGTTAAGATGAATTACATATACGTACACTGTAATCTCGATTTCCCACGGATCCCCCAAGATTGTTAGAGGGGATGGGGAAGGGGTGTGATAAAGCAGAAACCACTCATTTGCAACCAAGTCAAATTTGAATGAATGAGACCAAATACCATGGGAAAAACTAAAATTTATGGTCAAACAGCAGTTTGGGCTGAAACTGCAAATTTACCGTTTATTCAGTATTGTGTAAATTTATATCTTAATAACCTACTAATAATGTTGTAAAGAAGAAGATTTAATATTATACAGTTTATATTCCCACCAGTCCACTGTACTGACCTTGAGAAATGTTAAAACTGTATATCGTGAGTATTTTTTCTAGTTTGACAGTTGTGCCTTTTATTTCTGCGCCATGATTTCTGAGTGCCAGTTAGGCTAAGTTAAACATGGCTGTCATTTTTCTTATTGTACTGGTATTACAAAACATGTCTTCCTTATCCACTAACCCTGAAACTATCTCGGAGTATACTGCATATAAGTGCACGGTTAATATTTAGTACCTGTAGTTGCCAACGCCCAACTGAATATCGAGTCAAATATAGGGAGAAAGATATATATACAGTACAGTATATATTTTTTTTATTCTATACCGTTTCTGTTGGAAATTTATTGTTTTTTAATTATTTTAAGTTACTGTACTGTATTTTATAATATTCAGCCAATCGGCATGAATGTCGATGTGACATAATACTTGTGCACTAATCAGCACAAGTCTCGATTCTTGAGCAGTTGGAAGATGGCGTCTGTGTGAGAAGGATGTAAATTAGCTGACTGGCTAGTTATTCAGCATGTTTTAGACAATGAAGCAGCAGCTGTTGACATTTTTAGATATAATTCAGTGTCAGTACCGTGTAGATCACGCTGCATGGTACTGTGGTAAGAGACGAACACTGACCAAGACACCACTTCCTCATTCAAGTCACATCACTCTATCCTCCTGTATCTCTTACTTGAGGTAAGTTTCTTGCACACTAGGGGTTAGGTTAGGTAGGTTAGGTAAAGTAGGTTGGGTTAGATTAAGTAGGTTAGGTTTTTCTGGTTTTGCAATTTTTTTACCTTTTTTTTTCAATATCTAAACAACAGCTCATTTCTGACAGCAATGAAGGTCATATTTGTATTTAACATGAATTACACTATAAAAACCCGCAACCACTAAATATTTACCCTGCACAGTCCTGACGTAACCAACGATGTATCTCGTATTTGTTAATGGCTTAATGTATTTACTAATTTAACGGTAGAATACCCGGTACTGTACCACCTTAATGTTAATTGCTGAAACGCAAAAGCACATCATCATCACGTCCTCTGGTAATAAATAAGTTTGGTAAAGGTGTAGATAACGGTTACCACCAGAAGGAGTATGTTGAATTTCTTTATTTTTGCTATACTTATTGTTTTGATTATTTTAAGTATATTAAAAGAAACGATAATTTTCTATTATGATTTAATTATTATTATTATTTTTTTTTTTTACTCTATTCCACTGCACAATTCACTTCCCGGAGCCATTTTTGTTGTTTACCTTTCACGTATTCCTCCTCACCATTGCTGATGTATAGCAACCTCAATATTAAGGTAAGTTGTTTAACACATAAATTAAAATGATAATGCATAGAACCTAATAGAACCTGACCTAATATACCCTACCTATGGGTATGTTAGGTCCGGTTCTAAGCATTGTCGTTTCCTTCTGGTGGTAGCCGTTATCTCCACCTTTACCATAATTTCTTCGGTATTATTGCATTTCCGCACACAACATTCCTACCCCTAATCTATTATCATATTCGAATATGACATCTAATTATAAGATAATTTTCTTCTATTACATTACCGTCACAAATGTATAATAACGGAGATAGCGTATCCAAAGTTTTCTCTATTTTCTTCCATTAATCTTCCGTCATTATCGCCTACCTCACCTCCCACACTGCGTGTCTCCTTCATAAATCATCACGCGCATGCATTCCCATACATGTCACATGGCCAATCAAAAGCGTTTTTTTTTGGGGCAACCAATTAAAATGATTCGTGGTTTAATTCGCGGTATTTTTGGCCTAATCAAATTCGATTTTTAATTTGGGTTTCATATTTTGAAATTTAAATTAATTTCTGACCATGGAAGTCTGCGATGGGTGTCACTTCAATTATATGGAGCTGATTGCGAGTTTTGGGGGAAAAAACAAATAAACTGCAGCATTTTTTCGATCCCATGGTGTTCTCCCGACCTCAGTAAAGTGTCCTAAGTGCAAGAACGAATGTAAATATTGTCAAGACCAACATATGTGGCATTGTGGTAACTCCAACGACGAACGAGAACCAGGCCAATAGGGTAAGAAATAAGTGATTCCATCATATGGAGAGAGTCAGTTAGGTTAGGTTAGGTTAGGTCAGGTTTATGTTTTTCTTGGGGTTTTTTTGTATTTTGTATTCGCTTGGCCATAATTTTTGTCGGAAAACGCCCCACCAAAAAAAAAGAAACGATAAAATAACAGCCAATTTCCGACGGAAATGAAGGTCATAACCGATCTAAACACACATAAATACACTAGAAACATATTTTTTACTTTCTAACAGAGTTGTGTGCACTTATGGAAATTTACCGTTTCTTCTAGAGTAAATATACATAACAGTATGTTTACCTAAACATTATATCACTCAGGCGTCTACCAATTTTATAGGAGATAAATGTCAACTAATGATCTTTGATGGTAAAAACCTTGCTGACAGTCAGTGTTTACCTTAGGTGAGCAAGACAACAACACCTGGGACTACAGCACACACGGCCTCCAGCGACCAGCTCTAGTGCCCCACGGACCATGGATAAAACACTGTTTTTAGTCCTTGTCACGGACCGTGTGATATACATACATATATACTACCTGTACTTTGCTCTCACTCGGAATCGAGTATGACGATCATCCAGCTATGATACAATGATATTAGTTATTAAGGATTGATTTGATTTTGATTTTGCCGCTTACAGCGGCTACTTTATTGTGCACCCCACACTCATCCTGTGGGCGGTAGCCCAAAAGGATTACAGAGTAGGGTTTACAACGGGTCATAATAATTAACCCCCGTTGTCAGGATATTATGGCACTGAAAGTTACACAGTATTTCATTTACATTATTTGTTTATTTCTATACATAAAGGGTAACTTATTCACAAATGCGTGAGTACAGGCGTGTGAGGCAGTATGTCTGGCCTCACACTTTGTTATTCACATTTACGTGGGAGGTATTCAAGCACATTGCGTATTTGGTTCTGTACATGAGAATTGATATAGTTACTAAGTGCAAAAAAGTGGATACAATCTTAATATGTCGGCTATCTTGCCAGTAGAGATGAAGTGTTGTGCCATTTCACACACAGTGTGCTTGGACCTGTCCCTAAAAGGTTCTATCTTCACACAGTCGAGGACGTAGTGTTCAAGTGTGTGGCCATATGTCTGACCATACACTTTACATTTAGTTTTGTTTACATCTGCTTGAGGAACATACTGCCAAAGGTACTTATATCCTAACCTTAATCTAGCGGTTACAACATCTTGTAATCTAGTGATCTTGTTACTTGCTCCATATACATGTTTCACTTGATACATCTCATCATGGTAACCTATGGGTCGACTAGTGCCTGTTTGCACTTGTCTACTTTCGTCAAACTCATCAATAAGTTCTTTCCTAATTACAGTTTTAAGGGTTCTTTTTGACAGACCCAAATTGTATTCAACGGTGTTGTATTCAACGGTGCAGTGGCGTGCTTAGAGGTAATGCCTGGGCGCCCTTTGAGCTGCTGCCCCCCCGCCCGTGCCCCACAAAAATACATCAATTGTTGCTCCACGAGCAACCACTTCCACCTTCCATTGTGTGAAATTCCTGAACGTGAGCTGCACTGATCTGTGCTCGGATATTCTAGATCTGCTTCCACCATATGTTAAATCATCCTCGAATTAAACAGTTTGCAACAAAGCAGTAAAGAGCTTCCTGAAGGGGAGCACCATCCATGACCCCAAATATTCTTTCACCATTTGGCAGAGTTTGCAAAACCATTCGCGTGTTAGTTTTCTGGGTAGTTTGTCCTTGGTCATTACACCTTCACTAATTACTTCACCGTAAAATCAATCTAGATTTTGAACCACAGACGACCTTTTGACGTAGGTTACCAGAAAGATCAGTATTGTTAATCTTGCTGGGCCAGCCAACATTCTTTTATGGCCATCAACCACAGCTGGTCCTTAATATTTCTTCTCTATGTTCTTTCATCACTTGAAGGAGTTGAAGTTGACGAACCGTTTGAAGTTGAACTGGAACCTTTGAATTTGATAATGATTTGGCTCTTATGTACGATCGATGTATTTAAAGAGTGCCTCCTTTATTCTGTTTAATACTTCCTCTTTGCCTTTTCTTTTTTCTTTCGTACACACAGCAATTCACTTTTTAGCTACTATCTGTATAGAGTATAGAAGTATAAAACATTAATTTTTTCGAGAAATAAATCACACTGCATGCTTTAAAATTAAAAGATAAAAAAATTGAAAAAATGATTTATAAACTTAGATGTAAAAGTGATGAAGCTAATATCACAAGTCATAAGCAAATTCTACACTTTAACAAATAAATATTTAAAAAAGCCTGTGTAGCAAAGTAGAATGCTTTTTGTGAATTTACAAAAAAAATTTAAAATACGTACATTATTTATTATTTCGGCATTGCATAATATAAAAAAACAAGCTATTCAAAAGTATATGCATAGGAAAACATTTTTCTTAAATAGCATTAAATATATATATATATATATATATATATATATATATATATATATATATATATATATATATATATATATATATATATAGCAGTATTGTTTTAATACATCCTGTGTTTATATGTATTAAATGAAAGTACTTTCATGCTTGTCTTTCCTTTTCCAGTGGTTGTGCATCTATTTCAGTTATTTTAGTTTCTTTGTATATATATATATATATATATATATATATATATATATATATATATATATATATATATATATATATATATATTGCCTTGTTAGTTAGGGAATCGTTATATAAAACAATTATTGTAATTGCACCGTTATTCTTGCTGAGTATGATCTAAAATCATTATAATGACACTAGTATCAATAATATAATGGAAAATGTAAAAGTAGCAACTTAATCTAAAATTACAGACTCAGAGTACAGTAGAAATGGATGTTCGACATAAGCCCCCTGACGATACCCATGTGCTTCCCCATTTTGATTGTGGCTTTTCGTCTTACAACCCTAACCTGGGTCTTAACTCCAAATCTCTAACCCAACTCAATAATTAAATCACAGAGAAGAACAGTATATTTTAATTCCTCAAATTGATGAATTATGTCCGTAACTTTGGAAAGTTCTTATTGTTGAACAGATCAGTAGCCAACCTGACTGCAGGGGGCTTTTGTCTGGGTGGCTTTCTTGGTCTGGGGTTTTTGAGTTTGGGGGCTTTTTGGTTTGTACCCATTGAGTGATAGTAATCTTAGTATAAAATCGCAATGCTGTGAAACAAAATCTTAATATTTAATCTCAGTTCCGCAGCAAAAGTCACATCAATATTTTTTAACCAATACTTTAATATTTCTTACCTTATAGTATTATGTCTTCCAACGAAGTAAATAACTGGATCGAAAACACAAGAGAACATAAAGTCGTCTAGCCTCCCCTCGTCTTGTCACGATGGAGACTTGTGCAGAACTGAAGTGAATTGCTTGTAACTGGTGGATTGGTCGGCTGTACATGAACTGATATGACCCGAGACTACATGGTTTTGCAGCTACTGGAGACGTTAATCCTTCCCTTTGTATCGGCGGCAAGTTAATCCTCGTCGTGTCTGACCTAACACCTGACCCACACCACATGAGCTCACTGGCGTACTTGTTTGAAGTTGTTTCCTTAATCCTCAACAGGTTACAGGTTGTGTGTGTGGCGGGGGGCCTCATAGCAAGGGTGTAGCTCATGACGTGGCCGTGATGATGTGGGTCAGGTGTTAGGTCAGACACGACAAGGATTAACTTGCCGCCGATACAAAGGGATGGATTAACGTCTCCAGTAGCTGCAGATATGGGTGATGAGCAGACCCAAAAGTGCCGCCCCCCAAAAGTGCCGCCCAGGGCGGACCGCCCCCCCCCTAGCTACGCTAGTGCAACGGTGTCTTTGTTAGACGCGAGTTTGGCGAGGGCATGTCACCTAGGTTAGTGATTTTTAAGGTGACTAAAGAGGCCGATACAGGACCGGCAGAAGCGTTCACAGATGTTGCACATGTGGATGGCTCCATCTAGTGCGGTGTCGCTTGTCTGCCTCGGTTTGCAGTCGGCCTAATTCGAAAGTATTTATTTATCATATTTGCCACTTATCAGCTTACTAGCTGTGCTGTGGTGAATGGTGGTCCTCCAAGCGTTACGGTAAGGAGTAATCGTTTCTCAGGTGAGGGGGTCGATTTGGCACTTTTCGGCACTTTTTCAGGTTTGTCTTAAGGCTATCCTTATACCTTTTCAGCTGCTTGCCAGTTTTACATTTACTATTAATTAGATGACCGTAAAGTAGCTGATTTGGCAGTCTACTGTCGTCCATGCGGGTAACGTGGCCACTCCAACGTAGTTGTTCATGGATAATGGTAGCTTCGATGCTCCTTCAGTTGATGTCAGCGAAAATACTGTCATTTGTTCTCTTGTCTTCCCAGCGAACTCGGAGGATGGAACATAGACTATGTTGGTGAAAGTTTTCAAGTTCCTTGTGGTGCCTCCTGTATGTAACCCATGTCTCACTGCCATATAGCAAGGTGGGGAGGACCACTGCTCGATATACATGCAACTTTGTAGATAATTTCAGCTCCCTACAGCTAAAGACACGGGTACAGAGTCTGCCAAACGCTTGAGATGCACATCTGATCTGATGTTGAATCTCTTCTCCATCAATGTTTGCGGTGGTGGACCGGTGGGAGCCGAGATACTGAAAGTGGGTAACAATAGAGAGGGTAGTGTAGTGGATTTCTCCCCTACAAACGCTGTTTGTCGCTGAGTAGCCGACCTCACCAATTCCCCAGTGTATGCCTCGTGGTCTAGGTCAACCAGCACCGCCATACACCACGGAGCGGGGGTCAACTACTAAGCCACGCCTACCCCCCGCTATTTAAGACCTGACCTCGTGGTGACCTGTCTCTTTCTACCTCCACCAACCAGCCAGCAACACCTCCTCCTCCTCCGCCTGCCTGGTGGTTCTCGCTCCCGCCGGAGAGCATGGCGACCCACAAGCTGGTCCTCCTCTGAGCATCCTCACCATCCAGCTCTCTCTACATCACGCTTGTAACCATGCTGCCTTCCCAGCACCAAGCTGCATTGTACATCCAATACAACATGTATACAGAGAGCACATTGTGAGTTTCCTTCCTCCAACTCATCCTGAGTGTGAACACAAACAATCTCATTACCCCACAGTAGTACCATTAAGCTGGACGAATGGTGGAGGTGTGTCTAAACCAGGGGCAGGCTGAAAGAGAATCTGAGTCTTATGCACATTCACCTCAGGATCTCCTGTAGGTCACGTTCAGTGTGAGCGACAAGCGTGAGGTTGTCTGCATACTGAAGTTCGGTAATGGAAGTTGCGGACACCTTTTTTCCTGCCTGGAGTCATCTTATTTTAAAAAGATCCTTCATCCGGTACTCCATGTCCATCCTGCCGGCTAAATTGGCACTGGCACGAGTAAG